CTCCCATGCATTTGTGTAATCATGCTTAAAAGCCATCCAAGTTGGAGGTCCTTATGGGAGACAGTTCCACAGTTTAACTCTGTGCTGTGTGGTGTAGTGGTTAAGAGCGGTGGACTCGTAATCTGGTGAACCGGGTTCGCGTCTCCGCTCCTCCACATGCAGCTGCTGGGTGACCTTGGGCCAGTCACTCTTCTCTGAAGTCTCTCAGCCCCACTCACCTCACAGAGTGTTTGTTGTGGGGGAGGAAGGGAAAGGAGAATGTGAGCCACTTTGAGACTCCTTAAGGCAGTGGTGTCCAAACTTTTTTCAAAGAGGGCCAGATTTGATGAAGTGAAGGGCCGTGGGAGCTGACCAAAGGGCCAACCCAAGTTGTTGAGCTTCTTTTAGGATTGAAGTTGTTGAGGTTTTTTTGGGATTTTACCCCAGGAAATAAACTGCCACAGAGGATGGATTAAACCGACCAGAGGGCCGGATTAGGCCCCCGAAACGGACTATGGACATGCCTGCCTTAAGGAGAGTGAAAGGCGGGATATCAAGTACAAACTCTTCTTCTTCTTTTTCACAATAATATTTATTATTTTCCATACATAAACATAACAGAAGAAAAAGTTAACAATAATAAAGGGAAAAGAATGAAACGGGGGGAAAAGAAAAAGAAAAAAAGAATATAAAACATAAAATACAACAAATCACCACATAAACTAAAACTTAATTAATTAATTAAAATCCATCTTCCTAAACATATTATTTGACTTCCTCAAATCTCTTCCATCTGAGTATCTTAGTAGTTATATATAGCAGTTTCCAATATCATTATTTCATAAAACCATATCACAGTCCAAACTCTTCTTCTTCTCTGTCCCAAATCGTCCAAAATTCACCTTCATTGGCACTCCATGTGTTCTGGTGTTCTGAGAGAGGGAGAAAAACTTGTCTCTATCTGCTGTTTCCCTCCCTGCCAGGCATGCTTTCGTCCCCTTCTATCATGTCTTGCATGCCTTTTCTCTAAACTAAAAAGTCCCAAACACTGCAACCTTTCTTTAGTCCCCTTCTTCATTTTGCTTGCCCTTTTCTGAACCTTTTCCAATGCCCACAGCATCTTTCTAATATGTTCCCTGTTCTACTTTTCCAGGCAAAGCCACCGAAAACCAAAGTTGACGCAGCCACCTAGCCCTACAGACCACGGGCAGGAAATCTCAGGAGATTTCACTTTTTTTAACGACAGAATTAAGTGTTGTTAAAAAAGTGAAATACCTGGGGGTCCATTTGTCTTCCAAAAACTTGAATTTATTTAAAGACAACTATGAAAAATGTTGGGTAGAAATCAAAAAAGATTTGGAAATTTGGTCAAGACTGAAACTTTCCTTGTTGGGTCGAATTGCAGCTATAAAAATGAATGTATTGCCGAAAATGTTATTTTTGTTTCAAGCCCTACAGATTGTGGACAGAGTGGAATGTTTTGGAAAGTGGCAGAAGGATATCTCCAAGTTTGTCTGGCAGGGCAAAAAGCCCCGAATAAAGTTTAAAATACTAACTGACTCGAAAGAAAGAGGGGGGTTTGCCCTGCCAGACTTGAGGTTGTATTATGAATCTGCAGCCTTCTGTTGGTTGAAGGATTGGTTTTTGTTGGAGAACACTGATGTCCTAGATCTGGAAGGGTTTGACAATGCTTTTGGTTGGCATGCATATTTGTGGTACGACAAGGTTAAAGTTCATAAATTGTTTAAAAACCATATTGTCAGAAGAGCAATATTTATGGTCTGGATGAAATACAAAGACTTACTAGAGGGCAAGACCCCGAGGTGGCTATCACCGGTGGAGGCCAAGGCTCGAAAAAGGCCCAACATGGAGGCCTATTGGCCGAAATATTGGGAAATAATTGAAAAAACTGGAGACAATTGGAGGTTGCAGAGCCAGGAGAAATTAAAAAATAAGGTGCGAGACTGGCTACATTATGCTCAAATTCAAGAGGTTTTTAAAATAGATAAAAAAGTTGGCTTCCAGGTGGAAAAATCGAAATTAGAGATGGAACTGTTAGAACCAAAAACAAAGATACTCTCGAGAATGTACAACTTGCTGCTTAAATGGAACACACAGGATGAGACAGTAAAATCCGCCATGATAAAGTGGGCACAGGACATTGGGCACAACATTATGTTTGAGGACTGGGAAAGGTTATGGAACACCGGAATGAAGTTCACGGCATGTAATGCCTTGAAGGAAAATATTATGAAAATGATATACCGGTGGTACATGACTCCAGTTAAGCTGGCTAAGATATATCACCTGTCTGATAACAAATGTTGGAAATGTAAAGAGGCGGAAGGGACATTCTTTCATCTCTGGTGGACCTGCCCAAAAGTGAAGGCCTTCTGGGAAGTGATTTACAATGAGTTAAAAAAGGTATTTAGATATACCTTTCCCAAGAAACCAGAGGCCTTCCTCCTGGGCATGGTGGACCAGAAGGTGTCAAAGAAGGATAGATCTCTGTTTATGTATGCTACTACAGCAGCAAGAATCCTCATCGCAAAGTATTGGAAGACACCAGATTTACCCACGCTGGAGGAATGGCAGACGCAGTTGATGGACTACATGGAATTGGCTGAAATGACTGGCAGAATCCGAGATTTGGGAGAGGAAATAATGGAGGAGGACTGGAAAAAATTTAAGGACTATTTGCAAAAACATTATAAGCTGTATGAATGTTAAGAATGTGTACGATTAGGAAACTTTTGCTTCAGCAACTTGAATAGGTGAATTGGAAACTAAGTTATAAGAAAGACGAGGTGGACAACATGAAATAACTATACTATGTTTATTTTTAAGGTACAAATAACGGAGATACAGTATTTTGAATTTAGAAACATAGTATTTGAAAGATACAGTAAGATATGAAATAAGGTAACAAATTGCTGATGTTTTAATTGCAAAGAACGCAGGGTTCGGAAGATGTGGGGAAGTCCGGTTGGAATGGTAAAAATATTCTGGAAAGTTGGTTTTTATGTATTTCTTTTTCTTTTTATCTTCATTCTTTATTCTTTATTCTGTAAATTTCTGACTGTTTGAAAGAAAACTTAATAAAAATATTTTAAAAAGGAAATCTCAGGAGAGACCTAATGTGGGATAGGTGCTCAAGTAGACGGGCAAGATCTCTCCTCCCTGCTTTGGATGCATTTGGCCCTCCAGGAAACCGAGACTTCAGTGTCCAACTGGTGTATCTCTTTAAAACAGACTCCTCCAACCAGGTGCTTTGGACTACAACTCCCATCAGCCCCAGGGCTGTGTTGTGTGGGGTTGATGGGAGTTGTAGTCCAAAACCTTCAGAGGGTAGCAGCAACACAGAGGTGGAAAGCCCCAGAGCGGCCTTTCCCAAATAGATGCCTTGCAGAGATTTGGTACTACAATTCCCAACAACCCTGGGAGTTGTAGTTTGGGGAGGGCTGGTATAAAGGGTCTCAGATACCAGGGTAGGGGAAGCCCATCAACCCCACCCCTCTCTCTTCCTCTCTTCCTCCCTCAGATATATATCAGTTTATCCTCCTGCTTCTGCCTAAAGATCACTTTTAGATGAAACCTGCTTTTTTCACCCTTTGCTACGGGACTTGCAGGTTTTCTTTACTTACGTGGGGAACTTGTGCATTTTCTTGGCGTTTATTTAAATTTATAGCCCACCACACCTCCCTGAAAAGCGTACATACGATGAGAAGGTCCCTGCATTGCAGCGGGTTGGACTATTTGACCCTCGGCGCCCTTTCCCATTCTATGATTGTGTAAGGGTCTCTCTCTCTCTCTCACTGACTGTAAACTGTGTATTGGGGCACGTGTTGACAGGTGCTCCATCAAGTACTCAGGTGCCAGGTCAATTAATAAAATTAATTTATTATTATCACCATCATCAGTTTATTAATCACCTTCTACACAATCCTCTCAAGGCGATGTACAATAATAATATAAACAGTTTAAAATACACACGCGCACATTCCCAGAGCGGTTTAACAATCAATCCCTCTTCCAAAGGAACTCTGGGAATTGCAGCTCTGGGAAGGGGAAGAGGAGCTTGCCTAATAACTCTCAGCACCCTTAACAAGCAAACACATCCCAGGACACTCTAGTGGAAGTATCAAACAGCTTCAAATGTAGCCATGCTGTGCAAAGGCCGGGATAAAGAGGAGCATCTTTGATATACGATGAATCATGTGCAATGGTGATGCCCGACGCAGCTCTGTAAGGAGGGAGTTCCACATCTTTAGGGTTTGCCTGCATATTTATTTCTTATTTCATTTGAAATATACTCGGAGTCGAGTGTGGATTTCATGCTCTTTATTCAGCTCATAGTAGTGAGGAATGCCAGTTCCCCCCAAAATGTCTGCCCTAAACGGCCTCGGTCCAGTATATCTGAAGGAGCGTCTCCTCCCCCATCGTTCTGCCCGGACACTGCGGTCCAGCTCCGAGGGCCTTCTGGCGGTTCCCTCACTGCGAGAGGCCAAGTTACAGGGAACCAGGCAGAGGGCCTTCTCGGTAGTGGCGCCCGCCCTGTGGAACGCCCTCCCATCAGATGTCAAAGCGATAAACAACTACCTGACATTCAGAAGACATCTGAAGGCAGCCCTGTTCAGGGAAGTTTTTAATATGTGACATTCTAGTGTATTTTTCATCTTTGTTGGAAGCCGCCCAGAGTGGCTGGGGAAACCCAGCCAGATGGGCGGGGTACAGATAATAAATTATTATTATTATTAGTCGTAGTAGTAGTAGTATTAGTATTGGTATTATTATATACATTATTTACACAATGGGCCCCACGTGATTGGCTAATTCTGGAATTCTCCTGTAGGCCAATCAGGTTGCGGATTCACTTCCATCTGGAGCTGGATTGGGTGGCTCCTGCAGACCAATCATACTGCTGCACTGTTCTAGGACCAATCAGACTGCTGCATTTTGGATCCTATTGTTCTAGGACCAATCAGACTGCTGCATTTTGGATCCTATTCAACTCAGTACATAACATAATTATTCCATTTATATCTCACCTTTTTCTCCAAGGAGCTCCAGGCAGCATACACAGCCCTCCCCCACCTCAGTTCAGTCCTTACAACAACCCTGTGAGGCTCTCAGGTTGGCCTGAAAGACAGTCCCTTGCCCAGGGTCGCCCAGTAAGCTTCGTATGGCCGAGTGAGGATTTGAACTCTGGTCTCCCAGATGTTACTCAACGACAGCACACTGGCCCTCAGTGAGGACCACCGCCTCAAAGGGAAGACAGCCCCGCCCGTCGCTCATTTAGCGCCCCTGTGCAGAAAGCAGGGGGGAGTCAGGGCTGACAGACAGCTGAGCCCCCTGCTGGCTGCCCCTCGCACCCGGGCCCAGCCCGCCGGGCCCCTCCTCGAATTGCTTCAGGTAGAACTGCCTGGCTAGCTGCCTGGTCATCCCCTTGAGAGCAAAGACAGCCGCCGTGATCTCAGAGGCAAGGAAGAAGAGGAGGACCAGGTGGACGGCCGTCTCCAGCGGCAGGCGGATGATGTGCTCGTCTGTCAGGATGAACAGCAGGACCGGCGTCTCAATCAGGAAGGAGAGAAGGACGAAGCCGGCCAGTTCAGGGACCTGCGGGAGCCAAGGAACAGAGGAAGCTGCCTTGTACCCATCCATCCAGCTCAGTATTGCCTACACCAGACTTCCTCAACCTCCGCCCTCCAGATGTCTCAATTCTTATATTGACTTCAGTTCCTTCTTATAATTTCTTACAACTCTATTTAATATTATTCTTGTTATTCTTTGCAAACTTTAGCAACCCTGCCCTTTGTTTGAACTACCGTATTTTTTGCTCTATAGGACGCACCGAACCATAGGACACACTGGACCATAGGAGGGGGAGAACAGGGGGGGGGGTTTCTTGTTCTCCCCCTCTAAAACAAGGTGCGTTCTGTGTGTTCAAGGTGCGTTCACCCGAAGCCTCCTTCGAAGCAGGTTCCTTTTGACCTGCTCTTTGGGGCTGGCGGGTAGAAGCGCTGCTTTCCCCCACCGCCAGCCCCAAAGACCAGGTATGGGAGAAGCGGGAAGGCGGCGCTTGTGGGGCTGGCGGTGGGGGGAAGCGCTGCATCCTTCCCCCCACCTCCGTACAGCCTTCGTAGCCTCCGCAGGGCAGCCATCCGCAAGCTAGAACAGCAAGACAGAGCGCTCCGCAGCGCTCCGTCTCCTTGTTCTGGCTTTGGGCTTAGCCGCGCAGCCTGCATTCGCTCTATAGGACGCACACACATTTCCCCTTAATTTTTGGAGGGGAAAAAAGGGCGTCCTATAGAGCGAAAAATATGGTAGATGTTCTGTCCCTTTAAAAATTCCTTCACCTTACAGTATAAAAACCTGTGATTGGAAACACTCTGTATCAGTCTTTAACATCAACAGTCAGGAGCGCTTCAGCCCTGTTTTTGAGTTTCTCCCTGTTTTTGAGTTTGTTTGAAACTTAAACAGCTTATCTCATATTCCTTTGTAAGTTTTTCTTAAAACCTTTTTTGTAAACTCAGGGATGCCTTTCAGCCCTGCTCTTGAGTTTGCTGGAAATCATTGAAAACCATTTAAGGTCTATAATGTTCTTTTAAATAGGGCTATGTTTAAAACTTGTCATTGAGGTTTTTATACCTTTTTTGTAAACTCAAGGAAGCATCTCAGCCCTGCTCTTGAGTTTGTTTGATATCGCTTAAAATCATTTAAGGTTTAAAATTCTTTATTTCCTTCTGAGGAAACTGATAAGTTCAGTGAAAAGAGTTTTGGAGCTGGCATCTCATTAAGTCTTTGTTTAATTCTAGGTTAATTTTTCCCTAAATTTATTTATTTTTGTTATTCAATTCTATAGTCGATTGCCTCTTGTTTCAGGGATTTACACAGCAATTCTTTTGTTTTGTGTAATGGTCTACACCACGGGTGTCAAACACAAGGCCCGCGGGCCAAATCCGGCCCGCCAGACCTCGTCATGTGGCCCGTGTAGCCGCCACCGGCCGCCAGCCTTCACCTTTTATTCTCGCTTTTTTTTTTTTTACACAAGAAAGCCGCCTCTTCACCACATGCGCAGCAGCCTACAAGCCAGAGAACGTCTGCCCTCTAGCGGCGCTGGCCATTCTACACAGGAAACCTCCACTTTACATAGTCCTACAGATACAACCGGCCCTTTGAGGGTGACCAAACTGCTGATGCGGCCCCCCGATGAATTTGAGTTTGACACCCCTGGTCTACACTGACTGGCAGCTGCTCTGCTGGGTTCTAGATAGGGGAAATTCTAGCCCTACCTGGAGAGAGTTCAAGGCCACATCCCAGCAAGGCAAAGCACATTGAAGGAGGGTGCAAATAAAAGAATAGTGGCAAGAGAAATTGATGAACTATGCAGAGCTGGCTAAACTAACATGTAAACTGTGAGATAAGGACAACTGTGACTTCAAAGAAGAATTGGAACTTTTTACAAATTACTTTAAAAGACAACAAAATGAATTGGCAGGTTTTGAATAAACATACACAAATTTATTGATTGTTAACATAGCAGGTAGATAATATAAGGATTTCTACGATTTCACAGTATGCAGAGAATAATATGTGTTGAAAAATCAGAGAGAGGAGCTGAGGGAAATCTTGGGGGGAAGAGGGAGGGCTTGATGGGGAGGGGGGAAAGGGGGGAAATAATGAATATGATATGTTTTGATATTTTGATATGTTGAAATTGTTAATAAAAAAAAACTTTTTTTAAAAAAAGGAGGAGGGTGCGAAGAAGAGAGGGGAGTGGCCTGGAGAAAATCCTGGGGGCCAGGCAAAGAGGTATGGAGGGCCACACTTGGCTCTCAGCCCTAAGGTTTGTCCTCCCTGCCTTGAGGCCTTACCTTCTCCTGCAGATTTCCGATAAACCCCAGGTAGAGCCGCAGGCCTTCGGCTGAGATGATCATCAGGTACGCACTGACCAGCAGGAACTGATAGTAAGCGGGCAGTAGGCTATACTGGAAGGAGGTTAGAAAGAGAGAGAACTAGTTGAAAAGGACAATCCTGTTTCATCTAACTTAGAAAGATGGGATTGTAGCGTCGGAAGGGGACCCTAGGGTCATCTAGTCCAACCCCCTGCAATGCAGAGAATCAAAGCTAAAGAATCTTCGGCAGATGATCCCCCCCCCAAAAAAAAACCACTTGACTCCAACAGCTTTGGGGTTTCAGGTTGGTCTGTCCCTCCCAACCTGGAGATGCCAGGAATTGAATCTGCGGGCTCCTCCTTCCACATGTAAGGCAGATGTTTTTCCGCCAAGCTACAGCTCCGGTTAATAATAATATGAAGACGAATAAGAATAATAATTTATTATTTATACCCCGTCCATCTGGCTGGGTTTCCCCAGCCACTCTGGGCGGCTTCCAACACAATATTAAAATATAGTAATGCATCAAACATTAAAAGCTTCCCTAAACAGGGCTGCCTTCAGATGTCATCTAAAAGTCTGGTAGTTGTTGTTTTCTTTGACATCTGATGGGAGGGCGTTCCACAGGATGGGCGCCACTACCGAGAAGGCCCTCTGCCTGGTTCCCTGTAACTTGGCTTCTCGCAGCGAGGGAACCGCCAGAAGGCCCTCAGAGCTGGACCTCAGTGTCCGGGCAGAACGATGGGGGTGGAGATGCTCCTTCAGATATACTGGACCGAGGCCGTTTAGGGCTTTAAAGGTTGGCACCAACACTTTGAATTGCGCTTGGAAACGTACAAAAGAGGGGGGGGGCACTGACTACCTTCAGTTCCAGCATGACCCCCTCCGACAGGCACCAGAATGGGGAGAAGAAGGCATTGAAGTACAGCATCATCTGTAACGGCAGACAGGAAAGCACCGTGTGGTCTGGAAAAGACGGCGAAAGTTTGCAGCAGCAGCATCTCAGGGAGAAAACAGCCTTCTCTGGACCCATTTGCCAGTGGCACTGTGTTTTTTTCCATTAGAGCTTTGGATAAGGCACCTTGCCAAGGGATTGCCCAAAGGTTGAATACAAGGTCAGCAGTTAATACAATTCAAAATTACTGTGAAACAAACAGGGGCTCTTGCATAGCTTTTAACTTGTTGAATTTATATCCCACCCTTATAAACGTCAACTTGGTTTGGATTACAGCTTCCCTACGAGACCATCTTGCCCCCTGCATTCCCACTCAGCTGCTCTGATCTGCAGAACTAGCACTTTTACAGGTTTTTAAGTGATAACCGCACTTCGGAACTCCCTGTTGATTGACGTCAAGTAGGCATCTTCCCAGTACAGTGGTACCTCTGGTTAAGTACTTAATTAACAGAGGTCTGTTCTTAATCTGAAACTGTTCTTAACCTGAAACACCACTTTAGCTAATGGGGCCTTCTGCTGCCGACGCTCCGCCAGAGCCCAATTTCTGTTCTTATCCTGAAGCAAAGTTCTTAACCTGAAGCACTATTTCTGGGTTAGCGGAGTGTGTAACCTGAAGTGTATGTAACCTGAAGCGTATGTAACCCGAGGTACCACTGTACTCTTTTCAGCGCCTGGAAGAATGGCAGGTGAAGATGATGGACTTTCTGGAGCTAGCTGACCTTACTGGAAGAATCCGTGACCAGAAAGAAGAGGAATATCAAGAAGATTGGAGAAAATTTAAGGACTATTTGAATAAATATTGTAATATTAAAAATTAGAAGTTACTTGAAAGTACCAAATAGGCCTAGGATAAAATTAGGATTTATTTAAATAAATGGGATGTAGAACATTAAGAAAAGTGAAGAAATTTGATTATAACTGGAATATTATGTTTTAATAATGATATTGGAAAACTGTTACATTCATATACAAGGGAATTCAGAAGGAAGGGACTAGAGGAAGTCAAGTAACATGTTTATAAGGTTGGATTTTTAAATAAGTTTGTTTGTGTTGTTTAGCTGTTTGTTCTTGTTTTTTGGATGTGTTTTTTTCTCTTTTTTCTTTGTTAGTTTTTGCTTTGTTTTGGGGTTTTTTGGGTTGTGCAACGTTTGTTGCAGTATGTGTTATAATTGTATAATTGTATAAAACTTAATAAAAATTATTGGGGGGGGGAGCACTTTGGTTTAGGCAAGCCTACCCAGAAATGTAGAATGCTGACCTATGTTTTACTATGGGTTGTCACTTATACTTGACTTATTATTGTTATTTTTGAATGTTTTAAACAGCTGCTTCTAACCAGTAATTTCATTCTTTTCGGAAACCGCTTTGAAGTGTTGTATATCAAGCAGTATATAGAAATTTTATTCAGCTGAACTGAATCATGACCACTTTATTAAATCATATTAATTGTTTTTGCTCTTTGCTTTCTTTTCTTTTTCCTTTTTTTAAAATATTTTTATTTGATTTTACAAATATAAAATTATAACAATACAACCATACACATACACATTTAAAGATTCCTCCGATTCTCTGGACTTCCCACCTTCCCTTCAGTGGGTCCTATTATTAAACCTTTTCTACTGCATCTTTTTCAATAGTCCATACTTTATATAACTCCATTTTCTCCCCAGTACTTGCTACCTTACAAGTGTAATCACAATCCTGCTAATGTTTTCATCTGCTTACAGTGGTCTCCAAGAAAAATTATAAAAATTTCCCCGATTCTTTGTTAAAGTTTTGGTCTTCTTAGTTCCTGAGCTTTCCGGTCAATTTTTGCCATTTCGGCATAGTCCCAACTGTTTAATTTGCTTCTGCTCTTTGCTTTCTTAATATGCTGCCTCATTTCGCTGTTATAGCGATTGCAGTGTTTGTTGTTCTCAGTGCTGTTGTGAGCCGCTTTGAGCTCAACATTTGTTGGTGGAAAAGCAGAACACATTCCTGAGATAGTTCAGCTGGTAGAGCATGAGACGCTTAATCTCAGGGCCGTGGGTTCAAGCCCCATGTTGGGCAAAAGATTCCTGCATTGTAGGGGGGTTGGAATGAGATGGCCCTTGTGGTCCCATCCAACTCTTACGATTTAATATTCCAAATATTAAATCAGATCAAATAAACTATAGAACTACAGAATGGTATAATCATAAAATTGTAAATAGATGCTCTGCCACTGATCTACAGCCATGGAGACCACCCCCTTGGGAAGGGCTTTCATCGGAATCCTTGTTTGCCCCAGTTCAATGTTAAGCAAAATTTTTCAGCAGGGGGCCGGTCCACTGCCCCTCATACCTTGTGGGGGGCCGGACCATAGCTGTCAACCTTCCCTTTTTTTGCGGGAAATTCCCTTATTCCAGGGCCGTTTCCCGCTGCTATCCCAGATTGTTAGATATCCTGTAGACTGTCCCCGGGACAGGTGAGGCTGCTGATCCCTTATTTTCAAATCTGAAAGTTGACAGCTATGGGCTGGACTATATTTTGGAAGGGGGGGAAAATGAACAAATTCCTATGCCCCACAAATAACCCAGAGATGCATTTTAAATAAAAGCACACATTCAACTCATGTGAAAACACCAGGCAGGCCCCACAAATAACCCAGAGATGCATTTTAAATAAAAGGACACATTCTACTCATGTAAAAACACAGACTCCCGGACCGTCCGTGGGCTAGATTGAGAAGGCGATTGGGCCGCATCCGGCCCCCGGGCCTTAGTTTGCCTACCCACGGTTAAAAGCTTCCCCAGGTCTTACTAAAGCCCACTCCTCAAATCTCATCATACCCGGGTGGTAGCTCTGTGCCAGGCCGCAGTCGCTAGTCTTGTTGTTGATGAAGAGGGACCCGCTGAAAGTTGTCAGCCCCCTCCGCAGGTTGGGAGGCAGCGGAGTCTGCAGGGCCATCACCCCCAATGTGTGTGGGGGGGGTCGCCCTCTGTCCCCCCACCCACCCTGCTGCTCTTGACCTGAATCAGGCAGCGCTGGGAAAGAAGATCTGCTAATTGCATTAAGAGGCCGGGCAGCACAGCTGTCACTCAGACATATGGCTGGAGGAGGTTAATCCGGCTGTGCTGTGAGGGGAAAAAACCCAAAAGTTTCCTGGGTAAGGGTTGTCACATCTTTCCTTGCCCCTTTTCTGGCGCATTTCCGTAAAGATGTTGCCAACTTTTCACCGCTCCTATGCCTTTATGAGCACTTCCGGCCTATGGATCTTAGCAAGTGATGCAAAAGTCTCCCGGGCTCTTATTTATTTAATAATAACAATAACAGTAACAACAACAATTTATTACTTATACCCCGCCCACCGGGTTGGGCTTCCCCAGAAACGCTGGGTGGCTTACAACAAAAAATACATTAAAACATCAGTCATTAAAAACTTCCCTAAACAGGGCTGCCTTCAGATGTCTTCTAAAAGTCAGATACAGTGGTACCTCGGGTTAAGAACTTAATTTGTTCTGGAGGTCCATTCTTACGCTGAAAATGTTCTTAACTTGAGGTACCACTTTAGCTAATGGGGCCTCCACAGAATTTCTGTTCTCATCCTGAAGCAAAGTTCTTAACCTGAGGTACTATTTCTGGGTTAGCGGAGTCTGTAACCTGAAGCGTCCGTAACCTGAAGCATCTGTAACCCGAGCTACGACTGTAGTTGTTTATTTCCTCGACCTTCCTCCCAAAGGAGCCCAGGTTTTCAAGCACACAAAGTAATTAAAACATCTAAAAACTCCACCAGAGATACTGACAGGGGAGAGATCTCGACTGAAAAGCCTTGTTGGAAGATGAATGCTTTCAAGCAGGCACTGAGAAGACAAAGGAGGCCGAATATTTATTGGAAGGGAATTTCAAAGGGTTGGTGCCACCACACTAAAGGCCCTGTTTCAGTGAGGAGAAAACCTCCTGATAAGATGTTGTCAGCAGGAGCCCCTCACCCGCAGAACAGCGATCGACTGGGTATATAAGGGCTGAGGTGATATTTCAGGTATCTTGGTCCTGAGCTGTACAGGCCTTTATAAACCAGAATCCAAGACCTTAGCCTGGCAGGTAATTGGTACCTAGTGCAATTCTTTCCTGGGTAGGGCTGGCTGGGATTGTTGGTTGTTGTTGTTGTTTAGTCGTTTAGTCGTGTCCGACTCTTCGTGACCCCATGGACCAGAGCACGCCAGGCACCTCTGTCCTCCACTACCTCCCGCAGTTTGGTCAAACTCATGCTGGTAACCTCGAAAACACTATCCAACCATCTCGTCCTCTGCCGTCCCCTTCTCCTTGTGCCCTCCATCTTTCCCAGCATCAGTGTCTTCTCCAGGGAGTCTTCTCTTCTCATGAGGTGGCCAAAGTATTGGAGCCTCAGCTTCACGATCTGTCCTTCCAGTGAGCGGGATTGTTGGTAGTTGTAGTTTAAGGTAGTTTAAGATGTAGTTTAAGGTGATCTTCTGCTTTAAATTTTAGTGTGCCAGCTCCTCGGAGCAGGGACCTTCTGCAATGTGTAAAACAAGGCCATGACAGAAGTAGATTGGGATCTACTGATCTACTGGTTGATCCTGGGGGAATGTGCAATAATAACTTTTCAACAATCAACCTGACCCCCCAAAAAAGACTTTCTTCTTCTCCCAAATCAGGCTGCTGAGATGAAGAAATCTTGAAACCAGGAATGTCTTTTTGAGTGATAGGACTCTGAACCCAGTTTTGGAACTGAAAACAAATTCCTGTGCTCAGTGCATGCTCAGAGGCACCCCATTCCTCCGTTCTGCCAGTATGCTGACATCCTCCCTTCAAACTGCTTGCCTTGCATATGACTCCAGTTGATAGATTCCAGGATGCTAGCAGAACCGAAAACAAGTGGATTCTGGGACCCAGAAGTCTGCCCAGCCCAGCTGTAAACCTCTTGTGATGAAATTGTGGATCTCAACACCCAGAAGGCCCACTCTGCTCTTGTGTCTTTAAGAACAGCTAGATCTGCAGCGATGAGCCCACGAAGATTTTCACAGCGCGGAGATAAACACAGCCAATTTGCTCCCCATCAGCATGTTCCAGCTGCTGGTAAAGGGCGGATCCCTGCAAATGTGCAGTTCTGCAGCACAGATTTTAACAGGGATCCAGAAGGAAAGGAATATGCTCTGGTTATCTCCCATTTAAGGTACACCAATGTGCTATATATAGGGCTAACTTTGAAGGTGACTCAGAAACTACACCTAATCCAGAATGCAGGCGCCAGACTGGTGACTGGGAGTGGCCACCAAGACCACATAACACCGAGTATAAGGCTATCGATGGTTACTAAACTTGATGGCTATGCTCTGCCTCCACACGTGGGGCAGCAATGCTTCTGAATTCCAGTTGCTGGAAACCACAGGAGGACTCGAATTTTGCTTGCCAGTTTTTCACAGATATCAGGCTGGCCAAAGTGAGAACGGGATGCTGGACCAGATAGACCATGGGCTTGATCCAGCAGGGCTCTTCTTACTTTCTTAATTGTACTGGATCAACCCAGTAGGGATAGGTGATTCTCTCAGTTTCAGTTCTTTTCTTAGTTTCCCAGTCTTGCATTCAGTTCACCACATTTCTGCATTCGGTTGCAACTTTTTTGCTAAAGAAAAAAAAAAGTTCTCAAGAAAATTCATCAGCACATTACTGCACATTTTCTTCTAATAAATACTTCTTTGCAAGATTTTTTTCTCTGATATAATGCATTTTTGTATTGTTGGTTTCACTAATGTTTGCAACTTGTGGCATGCTTCCACCTAGTAGAGGCATATTTGTGAACATTTCTGGGTTATCATCATCATCATCATCATATTTATTTATACCCAGCCTTTACCCCAGCTGGGGACTCCAGGCAGCTTACACAAATTAAAAGAACACAGATAAAATACAAAACGCTAAATACGTATCAAAGTTAACAATTAAAAATGGAATTAAACTCTAATAGAATTAAAGCAATATTTTAAAAATACTGGTAATAAAAACAGCACAGCCCTTACCTTTTTTTTTTAAAAAAAGGCATTTCCCCCAGAGAATTGCATCGCAAAAAATTCAGAAAGGTGCAATGTTGGAAGAAGATCTGTGTGTCACTTCATAAAGTGTTTCAGAAAGTGAGATTTATGTTCACATCAAAAAGCAAACTGAAGGGGGGGGACCCACACTCTCCCTATAGGAAATAATTCAGAAAGCTTTTCCCTGCTCCCCAGCATTAAATAACGGGGAAATACATTTGCCCTGGTTAAATCAGGCAGAATTTAAAGGCAGAAGAACAGGGCAAGTAAAAAGAAAGGTACCGTATTTTTTGCTCTATACTTCTCACCTTTTCCCTCCTAAAAAGTAAAGGGAAATGTGTGTGCATCTTATGGAGCGAATGCAGGCTGCACAGCTATCCCAGAAGCCAGAAGAGCAAGAGGGATTGCTGCTTTCACTGTGCAGCGATCCCTCTTGCTGTTCTGGCTTATGAGATTCAGAATATTTTTTTTCTTGTTTTCCTCCTCCAAAAACCAGGTGCGTCTTGTGGTCTGGTGCGTCTTATAGAGCGAAAAATACGGTAGCAACCCCAGGAGGGGGCTATTTTTGGCCGAAGCATCCACACACAATCCAGAGCAGTTATCACACAAGCCTTGTGGTTTAATACATGAGTTTATTAATAACCTAGGAGGGTGGGGGAAGAGGGCAAAACATGAGATGGCTAATTTATTTTGCATGACGTCCTGTGGCAAAGCGAGTGAGACGCAAGCGAATGTGGGCAGTTGAAACGCAGGGCGGGCAAAATCCAGTCAGCATTTCTTTTCACCCTTCAGAAAACACCCGCATGAACTCAACAGGTGCTTCCTATTCCTCCAGCCCCACAGCGCCAAAAACAAAACAAAAAACCCCCATCACAGTGGCAGAATTTCTGCCTGCAAGCAAGCCATTTCTAAAGCACCCCCAGGCCTCTGTCAGGAAGGTGGAAGATGGCCGGCCTATGATTGGCAACCCCATTAGTGGCGAGGAACATCAAAGTCTGGCAAGGGGCTAGTCCTGTTAGAGGAGGAGCTTCAGCTGCAACTTCACCAGGTGCTTGGGAAGAGAAATTTAGCATGTTCCAGCCACACGAAGAGAACCTGAGTTTCAGGTTTCAAAGTGTTTCCACTTTAGTGTTGACACCCATGACGGCCCTCTCCTTTCTGTTGTGACGTTCTCCTCCACCGCCCCTGAGTTGCAAGGAAATGGTGGCTGCTGGTTCCTAGAAAATATAGCTGATTGCCCTGAATTAGGAAATTGCATTCCAGGGGGCTGGGCTAAATGACTCTCAAGTTCCCTTCCAGCTGTACAATTCTAGGATTCGATGGGCTGGATTATTAGGAGAGGGGCAGCCTGCCTCCTTCACCCTCAGGTCCCCTTGTCCTATGATGAGCAAGGTGATAACTCAGGGGTTTGTTTTGCCCATTGCAAAAAGAAAATCGACACCCCGTGCCGAGGAGAAGAGACAGTTCTGCAGTCAGAATAAACGATGCCAGAGGAACACGTGCATTATTGCACTGCAGAATTTATTCTGGCGTACTAATTTGGAGGGTGACCAAGGCTGCTGACCCTTCCCCTCGCTTGCTGCTCCAACCTCTCTGACTTCTGGCACTCTTTCAAGCACATCTTGGCAATCCTTAGGGGCTAGAAACCTGGTTAAGGCAAAACAAAAGGAAAGAAAACATAGTGATCTGGAAGCTGGGTCCTGTGCCTCTTCTGCATTCCGGAAGAACGGCAGAGAGCGGTCACAGCTAGGCTTGGCAAGAGAGGGCTTGCTGCAGGGGAAGGAAGTGAGGGGGGAAACATGGATCCCACTAAGGATAGGTGAATCTGTCCATTTCAGTTCCTCATTTTCCAGTCTTGAGTGGAGTTAGCCATATCTCCACACCAGTCCACAAGTGGTTGTGTTGCTGTTCCTTAAGTCCTTGTGAAAATTCGCCAGCATTTTCACGCAACGTTCTATTCTGCAATTTTGGTTCATGCGTCCAGTTTTTGCAAAGATTCATGTGTTTGGTTTTTGCAACACAATACATTCTTGTGTGTTATTTCCTCTAATATATATGCATGTTTATGCGCAGTTATGGGTTTCCGCGCTTGACCGGAGAACTGCATTGCAAAATTCAGAGACGGGCAAATTTTGAAAGATGGCTGCGGTTCGATTCACCTGCCATTTTCAGAATGTGCAAATTGGGTACGTTCGCCTTGAAACATGAACTGAATCAGACACCCTCCCCCCCCCCCGATCCCTATGCAAAAGACCAACAGATCTTTGGCACAGCAGGCTTGGGCAATGCTGTTCCAAAGGGAACATAGAAAGGTGAGCCAATCCTCCATATTAGTTTCCCTTTGATCGCTGCTCTCTCTCTCTCTCTCTCTCTCTCTCTCTCTCTCTCTCTCTCACACACACACACACACACACACACACAGAGGTTTGTGGCTCGCATAAAGGAAGACAGCTTAACGGGCCTGCAGGAAGCGCCTCAAGGACGTGGTTCAAAAGAACTGCAGCAGCAATGGAGTAGACTGGAAGGGCGGTTGGAATGTGGACGGCGAGCAGCGTAGCCAGCCACTGTGGGATGCGGCCATCACCAATCCGTGGAGATTTATTCCTGTAGAAAGGGAAGCCTTTGAGGTCCACCAGCTCTCCACTCTGCTCCCAAGCAAGCATGCAGGTGTGACCCACATTTTCCTCTCCCCCACCCCACCCCACGGCTCCGCTGACTTCACGGCACTTATCTGACTTGGCCCTAGATAGCCGTGGCAACTCAATGAACCCCTAAGTGGCCCCATTTCCTTCCGGTTGCTCCAGGGAGAGGGTGTGTTTAAGCCACTCTGAGGCTACAGCAGTTGATCTCAGCATGAATGGTGCCCTTGGAAGGCGTAGGAAGAGAATGGTTATGGAAACAGTGCCAGGTTTGTCAAAGTCACTGGAGAAAGGTGTGTGGCATCTTGCCCTTGGTGACTGCAGGGTCTGTAGGAAGCCAAGTGATTTCTGGGGATGTTAGGAGCCCTTTCCGGTTAGCCAGGACATGTCTCCAGTTCTGCAGGAAAGACAAAACCAACAAACAAAGCAGGATTATTGTAGGAATGCTTCCTCAACTCCCAAACCAGCCGCACAAATCTTGGAGTGGAGGAAGGCAATGTTTGTGAAGCAGACTAAAAGCACAAAGAATCATAGAAATAGAACTGTCGAGTTGGAAGGTGTGGGAAATTGCTGTCACGCATAACTATGCACAAGCGCTAGTTAGTGTATGAAGGGGTTAAGACCACAGAGTTCTGTTCCTAGACTCAGCTAGGTCATGACCCCTCTCCTCCATGAGGGAGGAAGTAAAGCTGATTTCTCTTCCTTTCTCTCACTTCTCTTCCAGCCATGTAACTGACCAGGGTGGACATGTCTGAACTTGATCAAAGTTCAGACAGCATATATGAAACTATATAGTGTATTTTGTGCCCAAGAGTAACTTGGGTGCTGCATGGAACAATCCATGAATCAGACCTTTGGATTTAGTAAGTAAAGCTTTTAAACTTACTTAAGAGTGTGTGGTCTGTTCATTGCTAGAGAGGTAGAGGGAGGGGCAAGAGTTTTAAGGCAGACGAATCAGGATAAGCAAAAGGGTTTAACAACCTATAATCCACACTATGCTGCTGCAGAGTGTTTTTAAACTTCCTCTCCAGTGTTGGAGAGTCCACCACCTTCTGATGTTATCTGTTTCATTGTCCAATGGCTCTTAGTGCCAGAAAGTTCCTACTAATGTATCACTGGATCAAATTCATCTTTTTTATGAATTAAACCAAATAGTTTTAATTGAATCTTGAATGAACATGCACTTAATCCTTACCATTTCGAATTTTATTCTATCATTATTTTCCTCAGTGGGTCGTTCAAACTGCTGTTGTGAATAATCCTTTATAGGGCATGGTAGGGGGCACGGGGGGTGAGCTTGTGGAAGCAAGGGAGCAGCGACCCCCAAAAGTTTGAGAACTACTGATTTAAACAGATTAAAAAGCGAAAGTTGGGTTGGGGGAAGAGAACAACTCCCCCAAACTAGCAAGCTGAAGAGACACTGACTAAAATATACCTACTTGCCATAGCGGATGAAGAGCCTTAAATTGCAGCAGTAAAGAAAGAGAAAGAAACAGAAAGTAAGAAAGGAGAGAAGAAGAAACTCAGTATTTGCTAGCAGAGGGACTGACTGGCTTCACAGCTCACACTCAGGACTACATATTCTTCCTAAGTTCTAAAAAATTTAAAGCCCTGCACAGAGTTAGTCCACTTCTCTGGTTTCCCTCTACAACCGTAATGGCTAGAAACTTGGCTCTGTTTTTCCAATGGAAATTATCAACATTATAGGCCAAATTCTGAGCTTATAACATTGATAATCCCGACTTCCACTTTAAAAGTTTTGCAGGATACATATTGGTGGGGGGGTGTTCCCCCAAAGTTTATTCAGTAACCGTTGCTCACAGGAAGAGAGAGAATTTTTCAAAACAGGAGAATAAAGCTCACCTCTTCCTACTGGAAAATCAGCCAACCTAGCTCCTGATATTTCACTCAGTGCTGGCCCAATGCTGATCAAGGAAGTGAGCTCCCCCCACCCAATATCACTATATCCATTTCTTGGGGGGGAATTCACCTGCCTCACAAGTGGGAAATGGATGAGAGCTCTGCCAGAAAAGAAAAGCGAAGAAGCGGCAGGTAAACTTTTCGTCTGATACTCACAAGCTTGAGGACTAGTAAAGGTAAAGGTAAAGGTAAAGGGACCCCTGACCATTAGGTCCAGTCGTGGCCGACTCTGGGGTTGCGGCGCTCAACTCTCTTTACTGGCCGAGGGAGCCGGCGTACAGCTTCTGGGTCATGTGGCCAGCATGACTAAGCCACTTCTGGCGAACCAGAGCAGCACACAGAAACGCTGTTTACCTTCCCGCCGTAGTGGTACCTATTTATCTACTTGCACTTTGACGTGCTTTTGAACTGCTAGGTTGGCAGGAGCAGGGACCGAGCAACGGGAGCTCACCCCGTTGCGGGATTCGAACCGCCAACCTTGTGATCGGCAAGTCCTAGGCTCTGCGGTGGCGCTGTGGGTTAAACCACAGAGCCTAGGGCTTGCCAATCAGAAGGTTGCGGTTCGAATCTCCACGACGGGGTGAGCTCCCATTGCTCAGTCCCTGCTCCTGCCCACCTAGCAGTTCGAAAGCACGTCAAAGTGCAAGTAGATAAACTGAGGACTAGAACCTTGCATTTAAAATGAATGACAAGATTCCCCAGATGTTGCCACGCATTATGCTCTGTTTGTGGGGCAGTTGTGGGACACAGACAGCCCAGTCCAGATTGGTGCCCTTTAAATCTTGGTGGTGGATCAGCAGTTGAACCCCCCCCCTTCCCTTTCTGGGCTGTCAATCAACTTTGCAATGAGGAAAGAAAGGAAACCAACCAGTGGGTGCTTTGAGGGAAAGGCCGGTCTCAAACTGGGGGTTGCAACTTACTCCACATCTCGTTTCCGGATGGCCCTGCCGGCTCCCATGACATCTGCAACCTTGGAGACCAGAGGGTCATAGTTCATGCTTGCCACGGCAAGCACCTCTTCATTCCTGCAACGAAAGATCCGAGGATTTGGAGGCTGACGGAGAAGGAGAGGTTGAGATCACAGAATCCCTGACAGATGGCCACCCAGCCTCTCCTTAAAATCTCCAATGAAGGGGGACAAACAGAAGAAGACGCCTTCACCCCGGTATGGCTCCCCTTTATCACATACACAGCCCAACAAGACAATGACAGCAATCCACCAACGGCATACAAATCAATATGGCTAACCTGATCCAAAACACCCACCCACCCCACTCACAGATGAAAACAAAGATCACCACAGCCAACCACAAACAAACAAGGCCAACCCCAACCTCTCTCACCACCAAAGGAACACAAGTGAACAACAGAGAATTGCACAAGCAACACTGACACCAAACCCTACATACATTAAGCAAAATAGAAACATTGCCACCCGACCCTACCCCCACCCATCTTCCACCCCTCTCCCCCTTTTCTTCATAATGTCTCAACAAATGAAACTGATTTGTAAAAGTGTTACATGGGGAAAAAATACAAGAGAGAGACATTATATGTACTTCTGTAAATCAAGAAAATATTTAATAAAAATACCCCCCCCAAAAAAAAAACTCGAATGAAGGAGAGCCTTCTGAACAGCTCTTACCATCAGAAAGTTCTTCCTAATCGCCGGTGCGAGGTATAGGGGGCGCTGGGGGCTCTAGCCCCCTCAATATTTTGAATCAGGGAACCCAGCCCTCCCAATATTGAGGGGGCTGACATCCTCTGTCACCGTTTGGTGCCCTCTGTGCACCCCAGCCTCCACCTGGGAGCCAGGAGAGGGCTGGGACGAGCGAGGGTGAAGATTGCCCTCCGTGTGTCCCACCCCTCATGATGCCACCCCCATATGCCATGGGGAGAAGGAGGCCCAGAGGTAGAGTCAAGCACTGAGCTCCGCCCCCTTCTCCTCACATGACATTAAATGGGGAGGTGGAGCATGCGATGGTTCCGCCTCCATCTCCCCGCTGCACAACCCACTAGGGCGGATGCGTCACATGACATGTCATGTGATGTGTCCCCCCCCAATGTGGGAGGCAAGCTGGCACCTTTGTTCCTAATGTTCAGTTCAGGGGTAGTTAAACTAAGGCCCGGGGGCCGGATCCGGCCCAATCGCCTTCTCAATCCGGCCTGTGGACGGTCCAGGAATCATCATGTTTTTACATGAGTAGAATGTGTCCTTTTATTTAAAATGTATCTCTGGGTTATTTGTGGGGCATAGGAATTTGCTCATATTTTTTCCCAAAATATAGTCCAGCCCAACACATGGTCTGAGGGATGGTGGACAGGCCCACAGCTGAAAAAGGTTGCTGACCCCTGTTGGAGTCTCATTTCTTGTCATTTGAATCCATTGGTCCCACTCCCTGGAAAAGCAGAAAACGAGCTTTCTCCATGTGACAACCCTTCAGATATTTGAAAATGGCTCTCATATCACCTCTCAGTCTTCTCTTTTCCGGGCTAAACCTACCCAGCTCCCTCAGCCATTCCTCAGAAGGCTTGGTTTCCAAACCCTTTGATCATCTTGGTCACTCTTATCAGGACACACTCCGATTTGTCAATATCTTTCTGAAACTGGGGTTGCCAGAACTGGACACAAGACTCCAGCTAGGGTCTCACCTGGTCAGAACAGAGCAGTACTATTACTTCCCTTGATGGACGTTAGATTTCTGTTGATGCAACCTAGAACTGCATTAGCTTTTTTTTTTTTGCTGCATCACACTGCTGACTCGTATTGCGGATGCACGGAATGCCACTAAGTGGAGCACAGCCAGCACTTTTTGCAAATGCGCATCCTTACTTAACGTGGGTGCAGCTGCATCTTTGGAAAGACAAAGCAGCACTTACTTTGTGTAAAACGCCACAAACTTCAGTTCATCCAAGTCTCCCTGAATGATGACATCATCAAACCCCTCTCCATGGCCTGGGAAATGAAAAGAGAAATAACACTGATTTATTGCAAGGGTGAGGAACTTGTACAACCGCCCTAGCAAGGACAGCCAATGGCCAGGGATAGATCTTCCTCCAAAGACTTGCAGTGAAGAAGACTTGGCCTTGCTCTTACCGTCAGACCTGGGTGGGCCGTTCACTCACCTGCGTAGCGGATGCTCTTGCCAAACATGGCTGTCCACAGGTAAGGGACTGTGCTGATTTCGGTCCCATGTGCCAACATGTTCAGCGCGGCAATGCGTCCTGGAATGTGGAGGAAGAGCAGCAGCACATTGCCCAATGCTCCATACAGTTGATGTCTACAGTACCAGCCACCCAGCGATGCAGCCCTCCCTGATTCCCCAAACCAGCTGTGTAGACCCTCCTGGAATCTGAAATAGCCCTGTCTTTTAGGGGTAGTTTAGGCCAACTGTTAGTCTTGGACTTTGCTATTTTAACCCATGTGTAACTTGTCATTTTGCATTTCTTAGTACAGAAAGTATTGATCTGATGTGCGCCCTCCGACAGGCTGCAATGCACTGCGAGTTCCGAGACTTAGACAATGCCCTGGTGGATCGAATCGTCTGCGGAGTCCGGGACATCCGTCTGCAACGGTGTCTCCTCGCCAAGCCAGACCTCACGCTGCAGAAAGCCATTGAGGAGGCCGTGGCCTCAGAAGCTGCTGAACTCTCCGCCCAGGAAATCCGCAAGGCCAGTAGCCCGTATTTAAAGGACTATGTTCACTGGACAAACTGCACATGTAAAGCTATTTCGTGAATAGGGTCAATTAATATGCTTATGTGCCTTACTGAAACCAATAAGGGTACTGCTGTATGTAATGGAACTACTATGACTGTAACTAATGCCTTATCTTGGTGGGGAGTGGTGTTATGTATTGAAGTTCTCACCCTGGCCACCAGGAGTATCATGTATATAGTTTTCACTCAGGTCCATGTCAGTTACTTTAGGCGGGAAACCCTGGGTTGTTGTTGCTACAATGTTGACAGCTGGCTGCCTATAAAAGCAGGCCGGCTGAGCTGTTTGCTGTTCAGTTCTGTTCCAGCTTACAAATAAAGAGCTGCTTTGGAGGAATCGCTGCGTCGTCTGCTATGTCCACCCACTATCTAACATTTCCTATTCTAATGAATTCAAGAGGGTTCTGGAAGCTTCTCTGTGTGAAAGAAAGAAGCAGAAAGTTCATGATGTCTGGGTTATTCCTTCAGAGAAGCTGAGTACAGCTGGTTTAAACTGATTCTCTTATTTCTTTCTGTCAAGGTTATGCTGACTATAAAAATAAGGCTAGAAGGAGCCTGGGTTTCACTTTCTCTTTCTATCTCTTTTTCCTGCTGGTGTGGTGTTCTGTACATAGTATGCTTAGCGTTAAGGTTTAGACTTATTATAAGTTATTGTAAGTTTAAGTTAAGTCTGGTGCAACTGGATTTCTTGTGGACAGTGCTAATCCCGAATGTATTGGATTTGTCACCATTATGCTTATTTGCCTTCAGTAGCAGTAAAGCTCTGCTGGATGAAATACAATTGCCCCTGGTCTATTTTGGAGGAATCCTGCAACATGCTTTAAGTTTTTACTCTGCTAACTATATGTTGGAATCTGCTCTGAATCAATACTGAGCAGAACGGAATGACATAACTACCTATTTCCAGTGGCATAGCGTGGGGGGTGCAGGGGGGGCCGGCCACACCGGGCGCAACATCTGGGGTTAGGGCAAATCCACAGGTTAGGGGGCGCAAATCCACGGGTTAGAGGGCGCAAATCCACGGGTTAGGGGGCGCAAATTACTTGCCTTGCCCCGGGTGCTGACAATCCACGCTACGCCACTGCCTATTTCTCATCTTTTAATTTTCACCGGTTGCTATAACCTATCTCTCTGCTTTGTATACGTTATGAAATGAAAAAATTAAATGAGAAAAGAAGAAACAAGAAACTGAGCGTCACGCACCGTGCATGTGAGCCATCTGCCAATGAGGGATGTTCACCTTCTTGTTGTTCCTCAGCACCAGTGGAAAGGCAACAGCGTCGCCGGCTGCAAAAACTCCTGGGATGTTGGTCTGCATCATCTGGAAGGGAGGAGGAAAAGAACCTCGTGGGTTGGCGGCACATCTGTTGCGTGTACCAGAGCACTCGCACTGGGCTCCAGCCTGCCTTCCGTGCCCCGGTTTTACCTTGTTCACCACGATGAAACCTTTGGAGTCCACGTTAATGCCACTCTGCTTCAAGAAGCCCGTCGCTGGGGTTGCACCTGCCCAGAAAGGGAGACAGGAATGTTATAAGTGAGAGGGCTGCGCCTAAGCAACTTCACCATAGAATCACAGAATTCTAGAGTCCGTAGGGACTCTCTGAATCCCCTAGTCCAGGGGTCAGCAAACTTTTTCAGCAGGGGGCCAGTCCACTGTCTCAGACCTTGTGGGGAGTCAGACTATATTGGGGGGGGGATGAACGAATTCCTATGCCCCACAAATATCCCAGAGATGCATTTTAAATAAAAGCACACATTCTACTCATGTAAAAACACCAGGCAGGCCCCGCAAATAACCCAGAGAAGCGTTTTAAATAAAAGGACACATTCTACTCATGTAAAAACACGCTGATTCCCGGACCGTCCGTGGGCCGGATTTGGAAGGCGATTGGGCCGGATCCGGCCCCCGGGCCTTAGTTTGCCTACCCATGACCTAGTACAACCCACAGGAATATGCAGCTGTCCCAAACGGGAATTCAACTTGCAGCTTTGGCAAGAGCAGCACCATGCTCTAACTGAGCTACCCAGGCCAACATGAGCACCACCGGCCTGGCCCTAAGTCCCAGCGTCTGACCGCCCCCTGTCTCCAACAACAATTCTTGGTTTCCTGGCCAAAAGAAAGCGCCTTGACTGTACTCTTTTCAGCACCTACTAAAAAACAACAACGTCTAGGCAAACCTACCCAGACATGTAGAATGTTGCTGTATATTTTCATCTGCTTTTAGTTTATTGCTGATTTTAGCTTTTTGAATGTTTTTACTGATCGTTTTATTGTTTTCTTCTTTTTGCAAACCGCTTTGAGGCATTGTTGTTGACGTTTTACAATCCGGCGGAATATGAATTTTACGAAATAGATAAGCAACCTAGTTGATGAGGAATTTACAGTAGCGGTGTGCCAAAATTTCCTACTGCGCTCCCCGCCCCGACCGTTCTCCATCAATGAATGAGAAAGGGAAATGCGAAAGTGTTTTGTTGCAAAAGATATTGCAATGGATGGTCCACAGGTAGGGTGCATAGCAGCCCATGAACCCCCCCCCCCCCATATGAAGGATTCCAGAGAAGTAAAGTTTTACATGGCCACCTACCTATGCCTATGACGCAGACATCGGCTCGGAGGACTTTGCCACTTTTCAGTACAACCTCCTTTAGCTTTAAGGGAGAGAGACAAAGTAGGAAATGGTAGTAATTGGAAAGATGAGTCACAGCCCATTTTGCCCAGGTCTTACATCCTTTTAATTCATTCACAGGGTAGCCCACCCCACACTGTGAAACCAGGAAATAAAGAATGGAAAAGTTGTCCTATGAAACCATTCCCCAGTCTGGTGCCCTCCAAGTGTTTTGGATGCATGGTGCTGATGGGAGTTGTAATTCAAAACCTTTGGAGGGCATCAGGTTGGGGAAGGCTGCTGTAGGCTATACCATTTGTGGGTCTAGTGAGAAATGTGGCTGTACCTGCACTAGGATGAGTGATATCTGGTTTGCAACATCATGATATCACCAGATAAAACATCACCATTTACCTCTGGATGCGTCCCTAACTTAAAGGAAGCAGGGTCTTCATGCAACAGCTTGCTCAACTACTGTGTGAGAAGCCCCTCTCCCCAATCTCTGCAGCTAACCCTTGCTGCAGTTGGATTGGCTGCCCACCGGCCGCTCTGCAAACTGCAGAGCGTGACAACACCGTTACGTTTTTATGTATATAGGAAGAAAAAAGAAGACCTCCGCAAGCAAACTTAGACAGCAGTGCCTCCACAGATGTCTTCCCCCCCCCAGTCACAGACTCTCAGGGAGTGTCCTAAACCTCTGAGCCCTGGTTCTGCATGGGACTAGATTCTTTCTAGATCAATGCAAGGCATAGAATTGCCTTCCCATCAGCCCCAGCAGGCCAAGAAGCACAGAATGACAAAGGCAAAGACCTTGGAAATCCAACAGATGTTGCTCAAAGGTCATTGCACACAAACCTACCTTGCCCTCCTGTTCCCGCAGTTCAGAGACTTCCGTCTGCATGTAGAATTTTACCCGATTGTTTTCAAACATCTGTCCAAGAGTGAGCAAGAGAGAGAGAGAGAGAAGGAGAGGGAGGAGGAAGATTATGCATTAGCTCTGGACTGGTGCTCTTAAGCATAGGATTTTCTTTATAAAGATAAATGGCCAGCAGTTGGGGGCCCAATCCAGATCAGAACCCTAGCATGGCAGGTGGAGGGATTTTAACCATTCACACAACTATGGTCACATAGTCGCAGCAAATCACACAGTTACATAAAATTGCTGGCCCCCAACAGATCAAGACTACAGTGGGAAACAAAGGGTTAAAGCCCTCTTCCCTGCATATTTTAATTATAGGCTCTCCTTCCTTGGAGGTTTTTAAACAGCTGTTTGGGGGGGCATCTGTCAGAGATTATCTAACTGTGATTCCTGCATTGCATGCAGTTGGATTAATGACCTTTAGGGTTCCATTCAACTCCACAAATATTTGATTCTATCTTTGAATAATTTGCGTAGCTAACTGGTTTTATGCCTTGCTAATATATTCATTGCTTTTAAATGAATAAATAAAGCTACAGGGAAGCAGGCAGAGGGCCTTCTCGATAGTGGCCCCCGCCCTGTGGAACGCCCTCCCATCACATGTCAAAGAGATAAACGACTACCTGACATTTAGAAGACATCTGAAGGCAGCAAAGTTTAGGGAAGTTTTCAATGTGTGACATTTTAATGTATTTTTAATCTTTGTTGGAAGCCGCCCAGAGTGATGGGGAAATTATTATTATTATTATTATTATTATTATTATTATTATTATTATACTTTGTATACCACTTAGAAGTCTATTTTTGGGCATTAAGCAGTATATAAAATAATAAATAGTTGCTTTTAACTGTATTTACTGATTACGTTATTGTTTTATTCTCTATGTCAACCACACGGATGTTGTTGTTTTTTTACAATCAAGTTGTGTGGATGTGAGCTCAGTCTGCAAAGTAGAAGATTTCCCAAGTCTGTTTTGATGTTTACATGCATGATTGCATACAAGACTTAACACCTGTACATGCATTTGTCCTGGAAGACAACACTTTATGCTTAGTATTTGGTTTAAAAAAAAATCAGAAAAGTTTGTAATAAATAAAAAGCAGTGTGTAAATATTACAGAATAAAATAAAATAAATATAATAAAATAATCATAAATCCTCTCTATACTAGATTCTATAATGGATCCTTGAATTATCTAACAGTCAGTCAAAACTTCCCTTCCTCACAGACATTTTTCAAAAAGACAGCCACAGTCAGCCTGGATAGCTCAGTTGGCCAGAGCATGTGCTGAAAATGCCAAGATTGCAGGTTTGATCCCTGCATGGGACAGCTGCATATTCCTGCCTTGAAGGTGGTTGGACGACATTATTATTACAGTGGTACCTCGGGTTACATACGCTTCAGGTTACAGACTCCGATAACCCAGAAATAGTGCTTCAGGTTAAGAACTTTGCTTCAGGATGAGAACAGAAATCGTGCTCCAGTGGCGCGGCGGCAGCAGGAGGCCCCATTAGCTAAAGTGGTGCTTCAGGTTAAGAACAGTTTCAGGTTAAGTACGGACCTCTGGAACGAATTAAGTACTTAACCCGAGGTACCACTGTATTATTATTATTATTATTATTATTATTATTATTATTATTATATCCTGCCCATCTGGCTGGGTTTCCCTAACCACACTGTGTGACTTACAGCATATCTAAAAACATAATAAAAACATCAAGCCTGAAAAACTTCCCTTATTAGGGCTGCCTTCAGATGTCTTCTAAAAGTCAGATAGTTGCTTATTTCCTTGACATATGAATGGAATCTCCAAGAATGGAAGATTTGAGATTGGGCGATAGTTGGCCATATTTTGGCCAAGATTTTATTTTTTTTAAAGAAGTGGTTTAATAACCGCTCAGGATCCCTTCCACATTTACAATTCTATGATCCTAGGAGCTCTGACAGGTTAACTTTCCATATCTGTTGCTACCTTCATGATGGCTCGGCCAACCTTCTCCCCAAAGAACTTCTTGAAGGGAACTTCCTCCAGCTCCACCACAGAGACGGAATGCGCCTTCTCCGTGAGGTAAGCAGCAACCTCCATGCCTGGAAAACAGAAACGAGAAAAAGTAAAACCTTCCACGGAGGAAACCATGCCAAGGAATGCAAAGCCTTAACGGGATGCCGGCTGCAAACCTCGTTTCACTGAACTATTCAGTTTCCTCAGAAGGAAATAGATAAATCATAAACCTTAAATGACCAAAATTCAAAAAAGGGGGTAGAACTCCCAAAAATTCTGAAGTATTATAATCCTAGCTCGACCTAGGTGAAGCAAGCGCAATAATAAAGGATTGAGGACTCAAAGGTAAAGTTTCTAATACTGAATTACAAAAAAGGGGTAAAGACTTATCTTTAACATCAGCAGTAACATCTAGACTATGGGAGCATTTCTAAAACTTGTCTAAAACTTGCCATTTCGGTTTCCAAACCCTTTTTTTGTAAATTCGGTTTTGCAGCCGGCATCCCATTAAGGCTTTGTTCAATTTTAGGTTTTTCTAATTTTTCCTTAAACTTTTTGATTTTTATTATTTCGTTTATTTCCATAAGATAAAATTTTCTAGTTGATTACTTCTCGTTTCAGGGATTTTCACAGTATTTCATTTGTTTTGTGCAACTAGTAAAAATGTAGGCAGGCCAAGCCTTATCCTGGGTATGTACCGTATTTTTCGCTCTATAGGAGGAACCCGACCATAGGACACACCTTGTTTTAGAGGGGGAGAACAAGAGAAAAAATTCTCCCCCTCTCTGCTCAGCGCCTCTTCAGCGAAGCGGCAGGAGGAACGGAGCCCCTTCCATTTCTCCTCCCGCTTGGCTGAAGGGGCGCTGCGCAGCTCTCCCTCTCTGCTGAAGCCAGGAGAGTCTTGCTCTTCCGGCTTCAGCAAAAGGAACCCGAAGCCTTCGGAGCACAGCGCGAGTTCCCGCTGCGCTCCGAAGGCTTCAGGAGGCTATCCCTGAAGCCTGGAGAGCGAGAGGGGTCGGTGCGCACCAACCCCTCTCGCTCTCCAGGCTTCAGCGAAAGCAACGCGTAGCCTCCAGAGCGCGGAGGGAGCGCTCCCTCTGCACTTCGAAGGCTTCGCGTTGCTATCGCTGAAGCCAAGGAGCCTGCATTCGCTCCATAGGACGCACACACATTTCCCCTTAATTTTTGGAGGGGGAAAAGTGCGTCCTATAGAGCAAAAAATACGGTAAATTCTTTGATCTGACCGTCCTTCCTTGCAGAGAGAGGCTCACCCAGGAAAGAGGCTCCAACAACCACGGCGTTCTTGCTGGTGGCTAGCTTCACCACTCGGTTGGCGTCCTCCACCGTCCGGATGTTAAAAACGTTCTCCACTTCCTTGCCTTTGCAGCTAAGGGTTTTGGGCCTGGAAAGATGTGATGGCAGAGCAAGACTGTAGCCAAAACAGAATTCTACAAGATCAAAGTCTGGCAGACGTCCAGATTTTGTAATGTGGATACCGATCACAGAAAAAACGACTTCAAAATACACAGCCACTCCAAGGTGGCCCCAAAGTCCTGGTCGTTCCACATAGGTAGAGCACCTGCTTGGAATGCAGAAGGTCCAGGTCCAATCCCTAACGGCATCTCTGGGTAGGGCTGAGAGAGACTCCCAGCCTGAAACGCTCGACGGCCACTGCTGCCAGTCAGTGTGGACTATACTGAGCTAAATGGGCCAATGATCTAAGTATATGGCAGTCTCATACTTTCCTGTGCTGCATTCAACGCACCACAGAAAGAGAGCTCACAACCAATGTGCTGTTAATGGTTAGAGTGTTGGACTGGGAGAGCAGGGTTCGAATCCCCTCTCAAGTCACGACGCTCACTGGGTGACCTTGGGCCAGCCAACATCTCTTAGCCTAACCTACTCGAAGGAGCGTCTCCACCCCCATCATTCAGCCCCAGACACCGAGGTCCTCCTCTGAGGGTCTTCTGGTGGTTCCCTCCCTGCAAGAAGTGAGGTTACAGGGAACCAGGCAGAGGGCCTTCTCGGTAGTGGCGCCCACCCTGTGGAACGCCCTCCCATCAGATGTCAAGGAAATAAACAACTATCTGACCTTTAGGTAAAGGTAAAGGGTCCAGTCGTGACTGACTCTGGGGTTGCGGCGCTCATCTCGCTTTATTGGCCGAGGGAGCCGGCGTTTGTCCGCAGACAGCTTCCGGGTCATGTGGCCAGCATGACTAAGCCGCTTCTGGCGAACCAGAGCAGCACACGGAAACGCCGTTTACCTTCCCACTGGAGTGGTACCTATTTATCTACTTGCACTTTGTGCTTTCGAACTGCTAGGTTGGCAGGAGCTGGGACCGAGCAATGGGAGCTCACCCCGTCGCAGGGATTCGAACTGCCGACCTTCTGATCGGCAAGTCCTAGGCTCTGTGGTTTAACCCACAGCGCCACCTGCGTCCCTTATCTGACCTTTAGAAGACATCTAAAGGCAGTCCTGTATCAGGAAGTTTTTAATGTTTGATGTTTTATTGTGTTTTTAGTATTCTGTTGGGAGCCACCCAGAGTGGCTGGGGAAACCCAGCCAGAGGGGTGGGGTATACATAATAAATTATTATGATGATTATTATTACCTCACAGGGTTGTTGTGAGGATGGAATGCGGGGAGGAGAGCTATATACACCGTGAGGCCTTGGGAGATAAAGGTGGTATATAAATGAAGCAAATAATACATAATAAATTAATAACCATCCATGACCTTTCTCTTAAGGTCAAAACTTTGGGTGCCCAAAAACTTCCTGCTCGTCACTTACATGCTCCCAGTGGCAAGTAGCAGTTTGTTATACTCCATTTTAAACCCGTCCTTGAATACGGCTGTCTTGTTCTTGACGTCCACAGCCACCACCTGAAACAATTCCCAAAGGATCATTCAACAGAACATCTTAAGGAACATCCGAAAACGTAATAAGCTAAGGACCGAACTGTGCAGAAGGTCCCGGGTTCAGTGCCCATCAGCATCTCTAGGGCTAGGGTTGGGAGAGCTCTCCGCCTGAAAAACCCTGGAAGGGTTGCTGCCGGCCAGTGTAAACAACACTGAGCAAGATGGAAGCAATGGTTTTCCATGGTATGAGGTAGCTCCCGACGAAAGCTGAGAATTCAAACTTCCACCCCTTGTACACAGACACACACACACCTGCATTTCTGTCAGGACCTCGATGTCATATGTACGAAAGAATTCCTTCGGTCGCAAGGCAATCTGATCAGGGTGAGAATCCATCGACTGAAACGAAAACCCATTTTTGTCCTTAGCAAAAGCAGGGGGTTGCTGGTTATTATTTTTTGACCCAGAGGGTACTTTTGGATATTTGAATGACTGTTCACCCCTTCTGATCACTTCCCTCCCCCCCACCCCCCGCACCAGATCAGCCCCCCTATAGCCCACCCCTCAAGAGACTGAAAGAAAGAACATGTGGACATAGACACTTCAAAAGTCAGATCCAATGGTATTCATCTGAGCCTCGAAAAGAACTGAGAGCAGATAGATGCAGATAGTTTGGCTGAACTGGGCCCCACAACAATGCTGTGGAATGGAGCGCAAGAGGTGGGGGCACCAAAGTTTAGCACCGCACAGGGCATCACTGAAATCTGAGAGCCCAAATTCCGCCACTGAGAGCATCCTTGCTCCAACTTCCTCCTTACACAGAGCTGAGGGAGCAAGTTGGAAGAGTGCTTGATTTCAAGACACATGATTTCAAGACACATGATTTCAAGACACAGGTTTTTATTTTATCTCACTGCTTTCCCCAGGAAAACCTTGGTGGAATCTAGATGCGCATATATATATATATACATCTGTGAAAATGCTTTTTTTTTCAGCGTGAAAAAAATTGAATTTGCCATAGGCTCACCATCGCCCTCTAGTGCCCCATTTATATAATGTAGTACAATGGTACCTCGGGTTAAGTACTTAATTCGTTCCGGAGGTCCATTCTTAACCTGAAGCACCACTTTAGCTAATGGGCCTCCTGCTGCTGCCGCACCGCCGGAGCACAATTTCTGTTCTCATCCTGAAGCAAAGTTCTCAACTTGAAGCACTATTTCTGGGTAAGCGGAGTCTGTAATCTGAAGCGTATGTAACCTGAAGCGTATGTAACCTGAGGTACCACTGTACTTAAAACCCACTTAAGATGTTGAATTTGCAGCTGCATCTTGCTGTTTAGTGCTGAATCAGAACAAACGTCCATCTGCAGAAAACCCGGTTCATGTTTGTTCCGATTCAGCAGTAAACAAAAGAGTTTTCTCAGGAAAAACGGCAGGACGAAAGAAGAAGCTCTCAGACCTATGCCTGCAAATCGCAGGACAAATGTCCCACTTCTTCCTTCACCTCTTTATAATTAAATATCATCTTATTATAGTCTGGTAACTCAAGATAAAACTTTGTGCATCTGCTGGAGAGGACTGTAGTCTACAAGAGCTTATGCCAGTGGTAGCCGATGTGGGGATTTCCAGATATTGCTGGACTACAACTCCCATCACCCCTGACCATCGGCCACACTGGCTGATGGGATTTGTAGTCCGACAATGTCTAGATGGCACTAAGTTAGCTCTCCCTCGATTAGGATTTGCCCTCCACCAAGTTTAGGATACAAGGAGAACGAACTGGAGAATACCAACCTTACTTAGTTTGGGTCTGTCATAGGGCAAGTTCCTGTCCATTGTGCACATCACAATCCTATCCGAGAAGCCTTCTTGCCGTAACGTCTCTGCACACACCAGTCCTGCGGGGCCTGTGAAAGAAGTGTATTTGTTCGTGTATTATTATTATTATTATTATTATTATTATTCCCACCTTTTTTCTCCAAAGAGAGCAAGGTGATGTATGTCGTTCTCCCCTCCTCATTTTTATTCCTCACAACAACCCTGTGAGGTTGATTAGGCAGTGATTGGTCCCTAGTCACACCCAGCGAGTTTCATTAGTTGAGTGGCGGCATTCGAACCCTGCTCTCCCAGGTCCAAGCCTGACACTCTAACCACGACATAAAATAAATAAATTGTATATTTTGATTTAGAATGCCTTGATGCTATTGTGTACAGGCAACGGCCAATTGATGTGCATCCGACTGATGTGCGATCACACATGCAGGCATGGCGCCGAACCCCGAAACATGGCTAAAACACCCCTAAAATGTCACTAAAATGGCAGAATGGGGGGGGTGAAGTGGGGTAATATGCTTTATACAGGCCCCATTGACATGCGTGGGGGTCCAGAACGTTCCCCCCGTACAAAACGAGGATCGCCTGGTGTTTTAATTAGGGATTGAATATATAGTTGCAAACCGTTTTGCAACCTGAGCGGTATATAAAATAAAATAATGATAACAACAGCAGCAGCAATAATGGCAAAATTCACATCTAATGCTCCGCCCAGTTTTGCCTCTGGCCCCGCCCACCACTGACTTCTGGCCCTCGGAATGTTTCCCAGCAGCCAATGTGGCCCTCGAGCTGGAAAAGGTCCAACCTCCCTGCAGTACAGCAACTGACCTGAAGGGGGTGCCGTCTCTTCAGTGAAGCCACCCCTCACCCAACACCTGCTCTCCATCCCACCCCAGACTGCTTTTGGAGCCCACTCTGGCTCACGGTACCTGCCCCGATGATGAGTACGTTTGTGCTGCTGATGTTGTAGTTGCTGAGGGAGATGCATTTGGCCATCACCTTGGTCCTCCTCTGCGTCTGAAGAGCCTGAAGGGAGCCATTAAGAAGACGGTGTCAGTGAAAACCTTTCACACTTCTGTGATTCCCCCCATTGCAGGGGGTTGGACTAGATGACCCGCGAGGTCCCGTCCAAATCGACAGTTCTGCGACTCCTCTGCCAACTCACACACACATTATTTTGGGTTACAGATAGGTAGCCGTCTTGGTCTGCCATAGTCAAAACAAAAAAATTCCTTCCAGTAGCACCTTAAAGACCAACTAAGTTAGTTCTTGGTATGAGCTTTCGTGTGCATGCACACTTCTTCAGATACACTGAAACAGAAGTTGCCAGATCCTTCTATATAGTGAGAAGGTGGGGAGGGGTATTACTCAGAAGGGTGGTGGGAATGGGTGATTGGCAGATAGCTGTGATGAGCCTGTTGACGACTCTTAACGACTGCAATAGGTCTTAGAGGAAAAAGCAAGGGGTGAGAAGGTGAAAAATGGCTTTGTCATGTATAATGAGATAAGAATCCAATGTCTTTGTTCAGACCAGGTCTCTCCATGGTTTTAAGTTTGGTAATAAGTTGCAATTCAGCAGCTTCTCTTTCCAGTCTATTTCTGAATTCTCTTTCCAGTCTATTTCTGAAATTCCTTTGTAGTAAAACAGCTACCAATCACCCATTCCCACCACCCTTCTGAGTAATACCCCTCCCCACCTTCTCACTATATAGAAGGATCTGGCAACTTCTGTTTCAGTGTATCTGAAGAAGTGTGCATGCACACGAAAGCTCATACCAAGAACTAACTTAGTTGGTCTTTAAGGTGCTACTGGAAGGAATTTTTTTTGTTTTGACATTATTTTTGGTCAGGAGAAGCATCCCTGAGAAAGTTTTGGCTTTGGGCAGCGCTCCGTACTGGCACAACCCATTTGTTCTTACTTAGCAGCAAGTTCCATTGGACTCAGTGGGATTTACTTCTGAGTAAAGAGGCTTTACTTGGTCCACCATGATCACTGCAGATGGTAACAGCAGCCACAAAATTAAAAGACGCCTGCTTCTTGGGAGAAAAGCAATGACAAACCTAGACGGCATCTTAAAAAGCAGAGACATCACCTTGCCGACAAAGGTCCGTATAGTTAAAGCTATGGTTTTCCCAGTAGTGATGTATGGAAGTGAGAGCTGGACCATAAAGAAGGCTGATCGCCGAAGAATTGATGCTTTTGAATTATGGTGCTGGGAGGAGACTCTTGAGAGTCCCATGGACTGCAAAGAAGATCAAACCTCTCCATTCTGAAGGAAATCAGCCCTGAGTGCTCACTGGAAGGACAGATCCTGAAGCTGACGCTTCAATACTTTGACCACCTCATGAGAAGAGAAGACTCCCTCTTGGGAAAGATGGAAGGGCACAAGGAGAAGGGGACGACAGAGGACGAGATGGTTGGACAGTGTTCTCAAAGCTACTAACATGAGTTTGACCAGACTGCGGGAAGCAGCGGAAGACAGGAGTGCCTGGCGTGCTCTGGTCCATGGGGTCACAAAGAGTCGGACATGACTAAACAACAACAAAAGAGTCTTAGGCACATGCTGTAAGGTTTCACCTTATAGGGATCTCAGTGGTCATCTCACCTGTTTGCTTGCTCTGATGTACACTTTCTCCTTCTCGATTTTCACCTAGGAATATAAATTGATTTCTCTTTTTAAAAATGGTTTTATAATCAAAGTTTTTCATATTTGTTTTGATTATTTATTGGCTTTTATCCTGTATTTTTTTTCATCTTATGATGAAGGGCGGTGTAATAATAATAATAATAATAATAATAATAATAATAATAATATTGTCAAATGAGATTCAGACAGACTGGCAAAATGCCTCACACACATTCCCCCACCAAAAGCAATTCACACCTGCAAACTTTCATATAAAAGTGCCCCAAAGAACGTGGACAAAATGGTGTATAAGTTGAAGAGAAATGAAAAGAGCGGTTTTTATCTTTCTTACTTCAGGTCTTCTACGTAGCAGAGAGACATTTAACCTAACATACAGAGGAGAAACTCCCTCAGTGCCACATAGCCAATCAGAGTGTTACCTCAGGGAACATCATGCCACTCTGCCTGGTTGCTAAGCCAGACAACATCTCCACCCCTCTTTCCCTCTTGGCTAACTGACTTCAACGCTAACAGAGTTAACCCTTGAATTACAGACAGAATGATCTCTACTGCGGCACCTTGAACACCCAAACTCAAGTTTGCACACACCAGACTAACCAGTAAAGAATCCTTCTACCCTTTCTGGGACAAAGGAACCTCAACAAAGGCATCCTGTCCCCTGGGCACCCCAAACCCTGGGCAGATGCTGGAGACTGTGATTACCCTGCTATGCCATTCTCAAAGCAGTGCTGTGGCTTAACCCTGGAGGTCTTACCTGAAATTTCGGCAAGCTGTCCAGGCCTGGATAGTCTTCAATGTCACCTGTGCCGATGTTAAAGCAAGCCCCGTGCCAGGGACAGCGGATACGTCCTTTGGACAAAACCCCTGCAGGAAGGAGGTTAGGAACACAAGTCGAAATGAGTCTACATGGGAACATAGGAAGCTGTCATTGGTCCATCTTCTTCAGTGTTGTCTACACTGACGCTCTGCCCGGACACAGGTCCAGTGCTGAGGGCCTTCTGGCGGTTCCCTCACTGCGAGAAGCCAAGTTACAGGGAACCAGGCAGAGGACCTTCTCGATAGTGGCACCCGCCCGGTGGAACACCCTCCCATCAGACGTCAAAGAGAAAAATAACTACCAAACTTTTAGAAGACATCTGAAGGCAGCCCTGTTTAGGGAAGCTTTTAATGTTTAATAGAGTAGACTATTGTATTTTAGTGTTTTGTTGGAAGCCGCCCAGAGTGGCTGGGGAAACCCAGCCAGATGGGCAGGGTATAAATGATGATGATGATGATGATGACTGGCAGCAGCTCTCCAGGGTTTGAGGCAGGGGACATTCCCAGCCCTATGGAACTGTAACTGTTGGAGGTGCCACAGAACACCCACATTTGTAAAAACCCAATATTTTAGTGTGGCAGCATCTTCCTGCTTACTGATATCAAGACTTCACAATACAGTGGTAACTCGCAAGATGAAATTAATTCGTTCCGCGAGTTTTTTCTTCTTGCGAGTTTTTTGTCTTGCGAAGCATGGTTTCCCATAGGAATGCATTGAAAATCAATCAATGCGTTCCTATGGAAACTGCCTTCAGACCAGGTCTGGGGACAGTCTGTCCCCCGACCTCTTCTGAAGGCTGGGGGGGGGGGGAACAAGGGCTTTTCTTCCCACCGCCAGCCTTCAGAAGGCTGTTCTGAAGGCTGGCGGTGGGAAGAAAAGCCCTTCTCCCCACCTCCCGCCCCGCAAGCTCCGGGGACAGGAGGGCTTTGCTGCCGACCGCCAGCATTTTAAAAGCCCCCGGGACAGCGGAGACTTCTCCGCTGTCCCGGGGCGATTTTAAAATGCTGGCGGGCGGCAGCGAAGCCTCCGCTGTCCCGGGAAGGCAGGCGGGGGGGAGCAAAGACTTTTTTTCCCCCAGGACCTCTTCTGAAGGCCGGCGGTGGGCAAAGGTCTTTGCTCCCGACCGCCAGCATTTTAAAAGAGGTCCCCAGAGATTTCCCCCTTTCTTCTTGCGAAGCAAGCCCATAGGGAAATTCGTCTGGCGAAGCACCTCGAAAAACGGAAAACTCTTTCTTCTTGGGAGTTTTCCGTCTTGCGAGGCATTCGCCTTGCGAGGTACCACTGTACTCTTTTCAGCCACCCATCCAAGCCTTCAACAGCTGTTGCCCAAACACTTTCAAGCACGTCTTGAGGGCTAGAAACCTGCATGTTTATTTTTAAAAACGAAAGCCAAGATTCTGCATTCCGCAATCAAGTCACATTCCGACCTTTCCCAGCACTCCTGTGACAGAATCGCAGAAAGCACAAGGACTCTCCAAGCCTGCAGTTTTATAAAAAGTTGTGTTTTTTTTATGAACACGTGTCATTTTCATAATAGGGCAAACTGACCTTTCACCAATGGAGCACCATAGTGAGGACATTTGTGGCCCATGGCATAGAACTCCCCGTTTTCTTTGACCAGAAGCGCTTTCCCGCAGCCCAGATCCACCTCTCGCATCCTGGATAGGCAGAATTAAAACAGCATCAATATTTTCTCAAAGGAAACCTGAGTTTTACATTTGCATGATTAACAGGGAGCCTAGCAAAGTCAAGGATGTTCTGCTGAGAATGAGAGTCACATGGAGCCCTAAGCAATGGAGCCAGGAACCAGGAAGGCCCACAGTTCAAATCTCGCCTCAAATCTTGTGAGATGGCTTCAGGCTTCTCTCTTTCAGTCTCGGAGCTTATCCACATTTTCCTTTTGCCCCACACTTTCTAGGCACAAGTCTGCACTTTCCTGGTCCGTATCCAAGGACTTTTTTTCCCCCTTTGGCCTGCCGCATTCCGCAGGGAAACTCAGTCTTTACTGCTGAATCGGAGCAAATGGTAATTTAGGTTTCCCAGGGATTGCTGTTTGTTCCGATTTAGCAGTAAAGAGCAGGTTTTTGCGGGGGCAAAAAAAGAAAGCACTTGGACACAGACCTGGAAAGCCCAGACCTGTGCCTAGAAATGTGAAGACAGGATGATCCCTCAGTCTCCTGATCTGCAGAATGGGACTCTAAATACTGATCTATCTTCAAGAGAGAAATTGCATGTAAACCACCTGAGCTGGAGATATCACCAAAAGAAAGAGATGGAAAAAGAAAAGAAGGAAAAGGAAAAGAAGACGCTGATTTAAATGAAAATCGCATGAGCTGACTTGCAAATAAGGAGGGATGAAACATGGTGGTATGTAACATGGACCCTCCAAGTGTTTACAGATTTGCAAAATCCGTCCCAATTTCTGAATTGATCCTGAAATGCCCTACTTTTCCTTAGGATGTCCCTATTTTCATTAAAGAAATGTTGGAGGGTATGGAGTTATGCAACCCCCAAGCCAAGGAAATAAGTAACTATACAATCGTTAGATGGTGTCTGAAGGCAGCCCTGTATAGGGAAGTTTTTTTAATGTTTAATGTTTTTTATATATATAAAACAAAGACACACACACACATGAAAATAAATGCACCTTGTAGAAATAGTGTTAAGAATTATACAAAGAACCCGTACCAGGAAAGGGGGCCATACAGGAAACCCTGCTACAATTCAATACAAAAAACCGCAAAGTGTGTGTAATTTCATTATGACAACACAAACAAATGGTAAACAAAAAACAAACAAAAAAGGATATTTGAAGGAAGGCTGGAACAAAAACCCACACAGGTAGCTCTGAATACCCAGGGAAGCATTGGGTTTGGGCTTATCAAACACCAGCGCCTCACATCAGATAGCAACCCATATATATACATACATACATACATACATACATACACACACACATACCCCACTGGACTTTTAGCTCCAAATTTAAGCAAACAACAACTGGATTGAAGGATTTTGCAGAGATAAAATATTGGAAGTGTCCTGATTTAATAATCATAATCATAAATTTATCATTTATGCCCCACACATCTTGGCTGGGTTGCAATTTAGAAGGGTATTACTATTATTGTTGCTCTTGTTGAATAGGATTCCCATATTTCCATCAGTGAAATCTCAGAGGCAATGTGCCTAAGATACGTTGTCGCTCTACACTCACTGTCCATTGTCGAGGTCCTTCACATAACAAACAGAGGCTTCAACCACGTCCTTCAGGTTCCGGTAGGGGTTGATGGCGACCGGGTATTCCTCGAGCTGGAAATGGCGAGAAGTGCCATTGGCTTTGTAGATGATGGGGCTGGCTTTCCCGTTGGGCGACATCTCCTCCTTGGCTCTCTCCTTCTCTGGCAGCACCACTTCGATTTTCACTTCAACTGCGGAAGCAAAGAGAAACCCTCTCCGTTATACTTCATGGTCCAATGTCCCTCCCGGCCCTGGGCTCTGCTCAGTGGTAGAGCAACTGCTTTGCATGCAGAAAGTCCCAGGTACACATTCCCTGGCGTCTTTGGGAAAAGACTCCCTGCCTGAAACCCTGGAAAGTTGCTGCTACTCCACGTAGGCAATATGGAGCTGGGTGGACCAAGTATACCGTATTTTTTGCTCTATAAGATGCACCAGACCATAAGACACACCTAGTTTTTGGAGGAGGAAAACAAGAAAAAAAATATTCTGAATCCCAGAAGCCAGAACAGCTAGAGGGATCTGGCTTCTGGGATAGCCTCTTACTGTCCTGGCTTATGGGTTAGCTGCGGGCAGCCTCTCCCGGGCAGGGGGGTGAAGGCTGAAGCCAGAACAGCAAGCAGGATCGCTGCTTCTGGGATATCCGCGCAAAGTCTTTTGAGGACAGCGGGAGTAAGGCTCCCCCAAGAGCCGTGCCCCCTTTAAAGAGCTCGCGGAGCGTGTGTGCAGCTCTTGGGGGCTTTTCCCCGAGGAGGGAGAAGGGCAGCCCCTCTCCTTCCTCGGGGAAAAGCCCCCAAGAGCCACACACACGCTCCACGCAGCTCTTTAAAGGAAGCGCTGAGCAGAGCCTCCCACCTGCATTCGCTCCATAAGACGCACACACATTTCCCCTTACTTTTTAGGAGGGGAAAAGTGTGTCTTACAGAGCGAAAAATACGGTGTGTGTGTGTGTGTGTGTGTGTATAATCTTATTGAATGTTTGCCTTTTTTGTCATTTAATGATCACATAAGCTTTATACCAAATTACTACAGCTAAATAAATTTAACTGCCTGTGCAAATGGGGTTACAATATCTTTTTTTTAATCGTTTTTATTTGATTTTCCAAATATAAATTTATAACAAAACCAAATACATTTCCATATAAAGAGATTTCTCTGAATTCCAAGACCTCCCCCCCCAGCCCCTCCACGGATCCTAATGTCAATGTTTTCAACTGCATATTATATATCGTAGTCTATATTTTGTATCTATCCGTATCAATTAGCGCCAATGAATTGGAGAAAATTATTCCCCAGAATTAGCCTGGGCACAAAAGCTTTTCAACTCAGAACAGTGCAGTAATTCTTTCTGAAAGAGATTAACAGCTCAAAATATTAAGTGAAATCGTTGCTGTTTTAATTGTTATTATTGTTGTTTGTTTGTTTTTCCTGTAAGGCACTTTAGAGATTTTTATGATATTAAGCAGTATTGGGTTTGTTTGTTTTTTTAAAAAAAATAAACCATAAAATTACTATTTCAACTGATAATTTGCAAAGTGTCTTAACATTCACCAGTTTCAGGCCTGCTGGATCAGATCCATGGCCCGTCCAGTCCAGCCTCCTGTTTTCACAGTGGCCAAACAAAAAACCCACCAGCAGGACCTCTCCTCCTGAGGTTTCCCACAACCAACCAACGAATACATGTATCAGTGGGAAATGTGCATTAAAAATGAGTGAAAATTAACATACAAAAATATGCATCACATTATTAAGGGAAACAGCTTGCAAAAATGTGCATATTTTCAGCCAAAGCTGCATACAAAAATGTGTTTATCAGGAGAAGTTTGCACTGAAATGCTGTCAAGTTTGGGAGTTGGGGGGGGGAATAAATCACAGATTGCTGAATAAATGCCAGTAATGATGATTGGAAAAGGGAGAAATGCGGGGGGGGGGGGAGGAATGACACCCCGAGCAGGAAACTAAACTAAACCAGAGCCTGACATCACGCTCTTATAAACAAACGGGCTTCTTGAAGAGGTAGGGAGGAGGGAGAGGAAAAGAGACAGAAGGGGGACTGATTTCAAATATTAGCTCCATCTCAGAATAACCCTTGCACAGTTTTCTGGCATGAATTTGTGTGTGAGGGCAGAGGGAGAGAGAGAGAGAGAGAGAGAGAGAGAGAGAGAGAGAGAGATTCTGCTGTGAGATAAAAATTCCTCTGCAGTTTAAGCTATTTTGAGGATGTTTGATGTTTGATGTTTTGCTCCAAGGGACCAGCAGAAACACACACACATAACTGGTGAGAGGACACACACACAAGACTGAACGGAGAAAGCCTTTGCTTATTCAGACACAACAGGTGAAATGATTCGCTGCCATGGCTAGGTGCTTTTGCATAAGAACTTAAGAAGAGCCAAAGGTCCAGCATCCTTTTCTCATAGTGGCCAACCAGATGCCTGTTGGAACCTGCAGGCAGGATTTGAACACAGGAGCACTCTTCCCTCCCGTGATTTCCAGCAACTGGGAGATGAATAGGAGTCTTCTAGCAACTCTCAGTGCCCTTAACAAGCTACAGAGTTATAGTCCAGCAGGATCTGGGGATCCCCAATGGCTGTCCATCCATGCTTTAAATGGCTGCCATGGATGGTATAAAAAAAATGGCAACCTTGACATTTATAGCTGGGATAGCTCAGTCGGTAGAGCATGAGACTCTGAATCTCAGGGATGTGGGTTCGAGCCCCATGTTGGGCAAAAGATTCCTGCATTGCAGGGGGTTGGACTAGATGACCCACAGGGTCCCTTCCAACTCCACAATTCTATGACTCCGGAATTATAAAGGACTGAATTATATTATCCCTTAGATGGACTTCACATTACTTCCCCACCTTGTCAATTCACCAAACTGAAGGGGATGCTGAGTTGTTTCAGACCCTTTACAGAGGTGTGTAATGTTGAAGCAGCAACTTACATCAATCACGTTGGTACTCCAATTTCAAAGTGTGTATCAAATTTGCTTGGGAGGGGCAAAACACCCCACTAAAACCTTATTGATTTGCATGATCATCAGCGATGGAGATATTAATCAGTGGCTGATCAGTCCACTGGGTTGATTCAACGATGGTGCCAATTTTGATGAGCAACTTTGATTAAAAACAAACCTTTTCCAAAGCCTTTCTGGTCCCGAGGTACTGGATGATAAAAAGCCATATCAATTCTAGATAGTCCTTTGAACTATGAGTGGTTAAACTAAATTCTCCAGGAACTCAAACGGGCACTTCTGCTGAGGTTTTGCTGATATGCAAAAATCTAGATTTAATCAAATAATTAATTGGATGAAACACAAATTATTAATCAATGGGAGAGGGCTTTAATCACTTGCCAGCCCTAATTATTGGTATTAAGACCCTGTAATTATTTGATTAAGTGGATCCTCATTTTAATGCATTAATTATTTCCACCCAGGATTGATGTTAACAGCGACTGACTTATAGTTACCGAGTTCATTTCGTTTACTTTTTTTAAACACTGGAACACTGACATCAGCCTTTTTCCAGTCCTCTGAAATATCCTCAGTATTCCATGATTTACTTAAAATCAGCCTCAGCGGTTCAGAAAGCTCCTCAGCCAATTCTTTTAAAACATTTGGGCGCGAGTTATCCGGTCCTGCGGATTTAAAAATGGTCAGCTTTAGTAGATTGCGGCTTCATATCCTCTGGGGCAGGAATGTTACGGAGGCGCTGCTGAAAGGAGAATGCTGTTATAAAAGTCGGGTGCCGGCCCCTCAGGGTCTGTGTTCCTTCAGAGAATTGAGACACGGCGGAGACTGTCACAGCTTTAAGAAATAGAGTTTATTCACCTATTTGCACCTGCAGTCTGCATGGAGGGACCCCGGATCTTACAGCATGGTCCTTTCAAGAGGGGCTTGTCCCCTATAGCAGAGCAACCAGGAGCCAGCCTTCAGCCAGCCTGCCCAAGATGAATCCCAGTCTATCTTCTTCTTCCTTCTTCTTCCCAGAACACCCTGCTAAGGAACTCTCCAAGGCATCTTTCCCAGTCAGCTCTGCAGCCAGCCTGCCCAAAAGATGGACCCCAGCCTCTCTCCCTGGTTCTTCTTCCCAGAACCCCTTCTACCAGACTCCCTTTTCATCACCTTAAACACCCCCCATCACCTGTCAACATCTGTCTCTCCAGGCCAAAGGAGTGTCAGCTTGGGCTCCCGGCTGTGGGCCATGGCCCTGGCACCAAAATTTGTGGGTGCCTGGCTCCTTCATGGGGAATTTTGTGGGTGCTACCGCACCCAGGCCCCCAGAAAGTTAGCACCTATGTCCTCAACACCTTTTGTCGGGTTAAGAGATTTGCTCTTCACTGCTCTGCCTAAGGCATGATGGAGAACAGTAGTAACCGGGAAAAGATAGACATAACATTTTACAACGACAGGAATTATTGCCACATCACGGACAGAATAATTGCCACACACAGGAAGAACAAGGACATAGTTTGAGTGCCTCACTTGTAGTTTTAGAAATCATTTAATGTGTAAACACGAATAGAAGTTATTAATAGTGCAGTTGATGTACAAGGGGTTATTATTTTGACCTGAATGTAATTGAAATTAAGACGATTTTTGAACGCAGAAATAAAGGAAATCATCAATTCCATCATGCGGGGGGCCACCTAAATTATATAGTTTGGTATTTGAACGATTGTTATTAGTAATTGTATTATAATTTGGCATTGTTATAATGAGGCTATTATTGAACTGTAATTGAAAACTAATAAAAATTATTATTTTTTTAAAAAGAGAGATCTTCATGAGGCCAGCCAGGCTGGTTTGCATAAGCCAGTCGAGGGATTCCTTGTCTAACACAGTCCTGCACCTTGTACTTTCATGCATATCCCAATTCATCAAAATCCTACCATTTATTAATTTCTAGGGTTTGGGGGGTCCCCCTCCCCCAAATCTATAACAATACGTTGCCTGTCTCGTTTCCCCCAACTCAGAGCACTTTTATTTTTGGGATTTGATATCCCGCTTTATCACTACCCTAAGGAGTCTCAAAGCTGCTAACAATCTCCTTTCCCTTCCTCCCCCACAACAAACACTCTGTGAGGTGAGTGGGGCTGAGAGACTTCAGAGAAGTGTGACTGGCCCAAGGTCACCCAGCAGCTGCGTGTGGAGGAGCAGGGAATCGAACCCAGTTCACCAGATTACAAGTCTACCGCTCTTAACCACTACATCACACTGGCTCTTTTGGTACCATTGCCAATTTTAATACAAATTAATACAAAGGGTGAAGACATAAGACTATCAAAAGCATCCAGCTTCTGCATGAGACTGAAAGGTGAGCCCCAGTCCAACAGCCTGTTATCACAGGGGCCAACACACAGGGGCCCCAATCCGAAGGGGAAGCCCCAAAGCGCTCTCTTCACTTGTGATTCCCAGCATCAGGCATTCAGTGACTGGAGGCAGAACCTAGTAGCCACGAAAGCCCTCTCCTTCAGGAATTTATCCCATCCTCTTTTAAAGCCACCATTGCTTCCTGTGGGAGGGAGTTCCACAGTCTAACAATGTGCTGCATGAAGAAGCACATCTTCCAACATTCAGCTTCAATGGAGTTATCCTGCCCTAGTGGACCAGTCGAGCAGCCACATTTTGCTCCAGCTGCAACATCTGGACCAGTGGTTCTCAACCTGTGGGTCCCCAGATGTTGTTGGACTACAACTCCCATCATCCCTGAGCTCTGGCCTTGCTAGCTAGGGGTGATGGGAGTTGTAGTTCAACAACATCTGGGGACCTCAAGGGCACAGAAGGGACTACAACTCCCATTGGTACCAGCCAGTGAAGCCATATGATGCTGGGTCTAATGCGAGCATGGTTATGCCGACTGGGGCTGCTGGGAGTTGTAGTCGTAGAATCATAGAACTGTAGAGTTGGAAGGGACACTGAGGATCATCTAGTCCAACCCCCTGCAATGCGGGAATATGCAGCTGCCAATCAAACCTGCAACCCTGGCGTTATCAGCACCATGCTCTAACCCAGTGTTCCCCAACCTTGGGTCTCCAGCTGTTTCCGGACTACAATTCCCATCATCCTTGACCACTGGTCTTGCTAGCGAGGGATGATGGGAGTTGTAGTCCAAAAACAGCTGGAGACCCAAGGTTGGGGAACACTGCTCTAACCAACTGAGCTATCTCAACTGGAGGACCCCCAGGTTCGTCTAGGACTTGGACCTCTAGCTCTCTATGCTCCTGATTGGTTGGATTCTCCCCACTCTCTTAAAAATAAATTAATTAAATCTGAGGTGTTCAGGCATACCCATCACAGTTCCATTACTTTTTGCAATTTGAAAAACAGCTGAAATAGTTATTGTACTTATTTCATATGATTTACACCCCACTTCATGGTAAAGTGGGTTGTTGCTATTGGGTTGTTGCTTTTATTTTTATTATGTATTTTGTGGTTTTATATCTCAGTTTTATTATGTGAACCACCCTGAGACCTCCGGGTATAGGGCAGTATATAAATCATCATCATCATCATCATCATCATCCTCAAGCAATTTTTGAAAAACAATAACATTATCATTAAGAAAAATTAACAACAGTAATTTAAACCTTTCATAATACAATATTTTAGGTAATGATATAACAAGGATAGGAAATGAGGCAAAATGTAAAGAGGCAAAGTTTAATTTTGTAAACCATCAGACGGGATGGAGGGAAGCCGTTGGGCTCAGTTGAGCCAAAGAGATAAAAGAAGAGGCTATGATGTTACATAATGTGATTACCGTATTTTTCGCCCTATAGGACGCACTTTTTCCCCTCCAAAATGAAGGGGAAATCTGGGTGCGTCCTATGGGGCGAATGCAGGCTTTTGCTGAAGCCTGGAGAGCGAGGGGCTTCGGTGCGCACCGACCCCTCTCGCTCTCCAGGCTTCAGGAAGCTATCCGCAAGCCTTGCGAGCCCGGGGGAGTTCCTGCGGGCTCGCAAGGCTTGCGGGGAGCAGCCTGCATCCCGAAGCACGGGGCGCCCTCCGGAGGACACCCCGTGCTGGAAGGTGTTTGCAAGCCTCGCGCGCCCGACGGGAGGTCCCGCCAGGCGCGCGAGGCTTGGGGCGGCATCCTGCATCCCGAAGCACGGGGCGCCCTCCGGAGGACGCCCCGTGCTTCGGGAAGGTGTTTGCAAGCCTCGCGCGCCCGGCGGGAGGTCCCGCCAGGCGCGCGAGGCTTGCGGGGAGCAGCCTGCATCCCGAAGCACGGGGCGCCCTCCGGAGGACACCCCGTGCTTCGGGAAGGTGTTTGCAAGCCTCGCGCGCCCGACGGGAGGTCCCGCCAGGCGCGCGAGGCTTGGGGCGGCAGCCTGCATCCCGAAGCACGGGGCGCCCTCCGGAGGACGCCCCGTGCTTCGGGAAGGTGTTTGCAAGCCTCGCGCGCCCGACGGGAGGTCCCGCCAGGCGCGCGAGGCTTGGGGCGGCAGCCTGCATCCCGAAGCACGGGGTGCCCTCCGGAGGACGCCCCGTGCTTCGGGAAGGTGTTTGCAAGCCTCGCGCGCCCGACGGGAGGTCCCGCCAGGCGCGCGAGGCTTGGGGCGGCAGCCTGCATCCCGAAGCACGGGGCGCCCTCCGGAGGACACCCCGTGCTTCGGGAAGGTGTTTGCAAGCCTCGCGCGCCGACGGGAGGTCCCGCCAGGCGCGCGAGGCTTGGGGCGGCAGCCTGCATCCCGAAGCACGGGTGCCCTCCGGAGGACGCCCCGTGCTTCGGGAAGGTGTTTGCAAGCCTCGCGCGCCCGACGGAGGTCCCGCCAGGCGCGCGAGGCTTGGGGCGGCAGCCTGCATCCCGAAGCACGGGGCGCCCTCCGGAGGACACCCCGTGCTTCGGGAAGGTGTTTGCAAGCCTCGCGCGCCCGACGGGAGGTCCCGCCAGGCGCGCGAGGCTTGGGGCGGCAGCCTGCATCCCGAAGCACGGGGTGCCCTCCGGAGGACGCCCCGTGCTTCGGGAAGGTGTTTGCAAGCCTCGCGCGCCCGACGGGAGGTCCCGCCAGGCGCGCGAGGCTTGGGGCGGCAGCCTGCATCCCGAAGCACGGGGTGCCCTCCGGAGGACGCCCCGTGCTTCGGGAAGGTGTCCGCAAGCCTCCCACGCCCAGCGGGAGGTCCCGCGGGGCTCGCAATGCTTGCAGGCAGCAGCCTGTTCTGGGGGCTTGGGTCAGGGGAAGCTCGGGCTTCCCCCGCGCCAGCCCCACGCCTGAGGGGGAAATAAATTTTTTTTCTTTATTTCCCCCCCCAAAAAACTAGGTGCGTCTTATGGGGCGGTGCGTCCTATGGGGCGCAAAATACGGTATATGTAAAACCAATTAAAATTTTTTTTGAAAAAAATAAAACTTTCATAAAGTTTTTAAAAAGCAGTGGACTGAAAGCAGATTAAGACTCGCATCAACTTTCTAAACATGTAGATAGACTTGTCTAAGCAAAATTGCTTTTAGCAGGCACCAAAAACAGTAATTCAAAAACACCTGCCAGATATCAATAAGCAGAGAGTTCCAAAGTTCCACACTAAAAGATCGAGTTCTTACAAATGCGGAACAAGTATAATTCCAAAGGCCCTGATTTCTCTAAGGAAAGGTAAAGGGACCCCTGACCATTAGGTCCAGTTGTGGACGACTCATCT